ATTGTTTTTGCTATACCTAAGCATAAAAACTATACAGAGTTTAATTTAAAAACTTCAGTTTAGGGCGAAAAATTGATTTTTCGACCTAAAACGACCAAATGGTCGATTTTTTGAAACATTTTTCCAACTTTTGTCGTAGGTTTTTTGCTTTAAATATAGTAAAGATATGCTAGGCTAACCGGAACCGCTAGGCAAAAATTGGTTGCCGCACTGCGCGACAGAGATAGGATCGCAATCACCCGCGCGGATTCACTCTCCTCCACTCCACCTGACATCGAAATTCTTGTTGCAAGTTAGATTATTTTGTAGAGCTCGTTGAAACGTACCGATTGATGTAACTCTTAGCTGCGGAGACCTTATTTTAACAAAGTTCCAGTCCTTCAAAGTTTTTGGCCTAACCTTCATAAGCCCTCCTCGCATCCCCTCCACCGTGACCTGGGGCCTAATGGCGTAGTAGGTGGCGTCTGGGGAATCTAACGCGGGTTCGCAACTGCTCACGATTTTTTTTCTTTGCTTTTTGGCTTAACGTTCCTTGTTGCATTCACGAGGCCCAGACAAACTTTTTTTTGTGATTGTTGATCCTCCCTGAAGTTTTTAGAGCGATAAAAAAACTTCGAAAAATTTGCCATTTCTGTTCGAAGGGGTGGTTATGTTTCCTAAAAAAATTTCTAGTAATATATGAAAAATGGGTTTATTTGTGATATTTTGTCTAGGCCTTGAGAATGCATAAAGGAACGTTGGGGCCAGAAAGCAAAAAATAGAAATAGTGAGCGAGTCAAAACCCTCGTTAGATTCCCAGACGCCGCCTAGTAGGCCAGTAGGTCACCAAGTCATGGTGGACGGGATGCGGGGAGGGCTGACAAAAGTGGGCCACAAACTTTAAAGGGCTGTAACTTTTGTTAAAGTAAGTTATCCGCAGCTAATAGTCATCTCAATAGATTCGTCCTCTCCTCGAGTTCTAGAAAATGAACAAACTTGCAACAAGAAATTCGATGTCGAGTGGAGACCATTGTCAGGGATGCAAGGAAGGAAGGAAGCAGGCGACGTGTTTGACGTGAAGATCCGCCCCCGCATGAAGCGCCTACTGATGTCAGCGTGTTTTTCACGGCGGCAAGCAGGATGTTGAAGGTATCTTACAAGGGAACCTCAAGTTGGCACGGTGGAATTTCGAAAAACGCTCGCGGCTACCCCTAGGTTTTCGGTTATGGCGATTCCAACCGTCGAGTCAGAATTTCCTTAATGGGCCTGTGGACAGAGATACAGCACTTCCGGAAAATGATAATTTACATCCAAAAAATTAGCATTAGCGATAGGTTTATGAGGCTCTCCCATCACTATGGAATCACCAGTTGAGTGGCCGAGTGGTAAGCGACTCGCTTGATAGGATTCTGACGAGGGTTCGAACCCGCTCGCGATTTTTTTATTTTGCTTTTTGACCGACACTTTCCGCCCAACTCCAAGTTTTGACCACTTTTTTTCGAAAATTCGTTCTCTTTCTAAAACGTCTAAAGGCATTAGCAAACCAATACAATGCAAAAAACTCCTCCGAGCGACCCATTTGTAAAAAAACGGAGATGGGAACACCCAACTGTTCGCGTAATTTTTGCGAATTTTTGAGGCTTTTTTGGAGTAGTAAGCCTGGAGCAATAACCAAAAATTTTTCTTATAGTAAAAATCCAAAGTTAGAGTTGGGCGGAAAGTGTCGGTCAAAAAGCAAAATAAAAAATCGCGAGCGGGTTCGAACCCTCGTCAGAATCCTATCAAGCGAGTCGCTTACCACTCGGCCACTCAACTGGTGATTCCATAGTGATGGGAGAGCCTCATAAACCTATCGCTAATGCTAATTTTTTGGATGTAAATTATCATTTTCCGGAAGTGCTGTATCTCTGTCCACAGGCCCATTAAGGAAATTCTGACTCGACGGTTGGAATCGCCATAACCGAAAACCTAGGGGTAGCCGCGAGCGTTTTTCGAAATTCCACCGTGCCAACTTGAGGTTCCCTTGTTAGTTGTTATTTCTGGGATAGCGCAAGCAGAAATCCACGTGTTACGTGGTTTACTGGATTACTGGATTACCAGATTTGGCTGGATTGAGCATAATAAGATTGTAATACTGAAATCTCCAATCGGATAGTCATTTTACCATGTGCAAAATTCTCTTTTACCTTTACTAACAGCTCCAATAGTTTCACCAGACTCTGAATGCTTTTTTGCGAGAAATATTTTTATTATTATTACTATTAGCCGTTGCTATGGATTTTCAAGAATTTGTTAGGTAATTAGTGCGGCAAAATGTTATCATTATCTGCCGGGGAGGCCTTGGTAGATGCGCAGATGGCACGGGGGGAGGAGCTGCACTCATGAAATCTTGGCCTTGCGTCCGTCGCCCTATTCAAGGCCAGGATTTCTTATCATGCTCCCCTGAGTAATTTAAAAATGTCTCGCGGCTCTGACCCTGAGACATCTGCTAGTATGGAGGAAGAATTCCAGAGTGAATTTTCGACCTGTTCGAGCATTAATTTCATAGTAGACTTACTATAAGTTTATCGCAAAAATAAAAAAATAAGCTGTTTTGTGGTTTCTATTGCTACTAAAACTCAAACTAAACTTGATGGCTTCAACAGAATGGATTGATTTTAACGATGACGGAAGTGAACATTGTCGAACCAAGACTTAAAAGTTAAGTTACGGAAAAATTTTAAGGATTGTCGGATTGCTTCTACAGTGTGTGTCAAAACGATAGAGCCACTCATTTGAACGCTATTATCTCGGCCCTCGTCGAGTTTGACGTCAAGTCAATTAGCAGGTCTTGTAGTGCTCGCAAAGGCGCATTTTTCCATCTAATTGAAGTTTTTCAAAAATAGAGCTCCAATTTTAAAAGTATGAGAACAAAATAGGACCAAATCCGGTAAACCGTAAACAAGCTTAGGGGTTTATGTAAGCATATTAAAATTAACTAAATAAATAATAAATAACGTTCTAAAATCAATAAATAAAATGTTTTAGCATATTGCAGTAAATAGCTTGAATCCAGATCAAGGGGTCTCAACGACGACATTAGCGCTTACAAGGAGTGCCCTTTTGGTGTCATCGGCAAATCCCTCCGAGACCTAGCTCATTCGATAGAGAATTGAATTCTGAACAAGCTACCGATGTTCATTTTTGCGGAATGGCTGTCTCTGATTTTATAAAATTAAAAACTAGTGACCGTCTCTTACCATGAGTGCCCTCCCGAGCCAATAGAGACGCTTTCCGGCGCCGTTTTAAAATTTTATAAAATTAGAGACAGCCATTCCGCAAAAATGAACATTGGTAGCTTCTTCAAAATTCAATTCTCGATCAAATGAGCTAGGTCTCGAAGAGATTTGCCGATGACACCAAAAGGGCACTCCTTGTTAGATAAGTTTATCATTAGACCGCGGAGGCTTGACTCCGTATGAGCAGATGTCCACGCAAGACATCGAGAGGGATCCCAGGACATGATAAGAAATCCAGGCCTTGGGTGCCCCGTCCCCCTTGAATACGCTATCCATCGGCTATCTCTGCACTGATAACAACCTGATCGAACTCATAAGCGCCGTTCCCCTCCAGAGTTCTGACGGGGAATCTCTTCTGAAGCGATTAATGGTGGTTGGTCATCAACCTTGTGTTGGATGTAGGATATAGGGGGTAACCCGAAGGCCATATGATTGCAGTCGCGAAGCGAATGTAATCATCTGGTGAGATAGTTCGAGCCTAATACAAAACTGGTACCGATTAATCGATGATTTTCAGGTACACGACGGCACCCGTTTGTTATGGTGCCCCTTCTGTACGAATGGCACATCACCACTAGGAGTGCAACAATGACAATGGCGTCGTGAGGTCAATCCCGCGTCCACCAAGGTATCTTTGCAATTGCTCTTTGACTAACAAATTTAGGCCACTTTGCCAATGCGGCTTCGCCACCTTTGACGAAATTCGGCTGGCGCACCACCGCAAGAAGTGCAACAATGGCAATTGCGTCGTGAGGTCCATTCCGCTTCCACCAAGGTTTCATTCCAATTGCTTCTTGACAACAAAATTAGGCAAAGTCCCTAAGCACGTGGCTCCTGCTTTCGGCACGACGAGGCCCTTGGCAAGTGTGACCCGCGAACATGCAAACCAAGCCGCCGTCCGACGGAAACCCAACAGAAAGCTCTTGATGGTGTTTTTCGTGAAAAAATGTTGTATTGCAATTTGAATAAATGTTTATTTTTTATTCGCCTTGAAATAGTTGTAAGTCGCTACGGCGCTGAGAATACTTTCGAAAAGAATAATATCGCTCTCGTGCATTATCCTCCATTTATCAAACGTAGGTAGTGTAGGTATTTTTTACTAGATAGTCATCAGGAAGCCGCGCCCATTTTGGGCCGTTTTGGGTTTTTTTGTTCGTTATGTTTTGGGTTAGGATCGTGGCTTTGATACCGGTGGTCTAGTTTAATAAATTCATATTTAGTTAACTGCGGCAGGTGTGTCTGGTAGTTTACACTCTTCAATAGATATTGATAGATACATAGAAGCTAGGGGGAGAGAGAGAGAGAGATAGAGAGAGAGAGAGAGAGAGAGAGAGAGAAAGAGTGAGAGAGAGAGAGAGGGGGGAGAGAAATCTCACCTATTCCCAACTTTTTATATAAAATTTTATTCAAAAACAATAACACCTCCAATATTATAAGCTGATAGTAAGGCACTGCGGTAAGGAATAGACAATCTGAAGTAATATGACTATTCAAAAACACCATATTCAATAAAAAATGTTTGGTACTTGATAGAGGGGAATCACAATGCATCGGTCCTAAGTATTCAAGGGGGGTTGAGCGTATTTTATATTCCGTCATATGGCAAGACTTTGGCGCAACAACCACACAAATCGATAGAAAAAATTATATCACAAAGCATCAGTTTAGGAAATTTAAAGAGATTATATAAAGCCAAATAATTTAAGGCATGATTTAAAAATGTCAAATTAATTTAGAAATCTATTGGGGTTGCTCTTTTTCCTTTTCTTTTTGTAGTTTGCGGCGTAGAACGATGATGAGGCGATGTTGTCTGGAATTATTAATTGAAAACAGAAACTAACTTTGAAAACATTAGAAATTAAAGATACACACCTCTCAATTTCCGTTCGTAATTTGTCTGGATCGTCACAATTAAACACCGATTCCGAATACGACATTCGCGACATATTCGACACCGTTCTTGTTAAACCTCTTCCAGGCGGTGAAGCCTTTCCATTGGTCATCCTAAAAATTCATATTATGCGAAATAATAAATTCCAACTTGTTCCGCATCTCCTCCATATTTGTAGCCAAACGATCACGTTCCTGCTCAACGGCCTTCAGCTTTTGATTGAGATACGAGTAATCTCGCCGAGTCCTAGGAATTGAAAACTAAATTTTTTTACGTTTCCGTACTGATCGGCGTCATTTTGTGCCTGATCGACAGCCTCCTGCAGTATCTGCACTTCTCGCTCCTTTTGCCGCTGTTGACTTTGGGCTTCCTTCAACTCGGCTTCGATCTTGCTTAGCTTGGCCGTGTTCCTAGAAGGATTACATTGCGTAATCGGTGCATTGACTGACTCTTTGGCACCGCCGCCATTTTCTGTCGCTTCCTTGCGGAGTCGAGCCATTAGACCCTCGAGCTTCAGGACTTCCGCAGCTAGCTTGGCATTTTCGGCTATCAATTCAGCATCCTGGATTAAATAATGGTTACGGGATCGCCCCTTTAAAATTACCTCTGCTGGTTTGCCAACTTTTTCTCGAAGTTCTTCCAACTCAGATTCTTTTTCTTCTAGAGTCCCTTCGAGTCTAAATTAATAGATAATTGTGCGTTTCTAATTGAATACTAATTAGTTACTTTTTATTAAAAATTACCGTATATTTTTATCCTTCTCCTCCTGCACTGTCCGCTTCCCGCTCTCCAATTCGTTTTTCAACGTCTGAATTTGAGCTTCAAGTGCGTTCACGGCAGTGCTTTGCCCTCTCAGCGAGTCGAGCTAAATCTCGTATTACCATGATCATTGTTTGCGATTTTTATACCTGTACTTGGAGAGTGTTATGCTTTTCTAAATGCTGCTGCTCCAGAGCTTCCAAGGTCTGTCGATGCTCAGCTTCAAGCTCCTCTAGTTGCTTCTTCACCTAGAAAATCATTTTGTTTCTTATTGACAACTAAAAGTTCGCAAAAAAAAATTTAAAATAAGGATTCCCAAGAAACGTGCAACTTCACTGTTCTTTAAAACATGAAGTGATTGCTTTTAAAGGGCTACTGAACCCAAAAAAGTGGTGCTCATGCGGACAAAAACAAAAATACAGAAAATCGCAGCAAACCTGGGCTCCGAACTGCTCGGCCTCCTTCATCTGTTCTTTGGCCGACATGTCGGCGGAGCGGAGGGCCATTAGTGCGTCTTCCGAGGCGACGAGGGCCTTCTTCAGATCGGCCTGTTCGGCTTCCGCCTAGACACCACAACGTGGACAACGAAGCACACCACATTCCGCCAATTTTAACATGTTGCCCAATTTTGTAGACGATCACAACATGCTATTGTGCTTGGTGCTTCTTTAAACTTGAGGCTGCATACTACAAACTACAGACTACACTTATGTTCTATTTAAAGGGGTTTGGAAATGAAAACAAAATGCTGGAGGAATTTAAAGGTTCCAAATCTCTTTAAATGTCTGTTGCAATTCTATAATTACATAACATTACCATCAATGCTGATTCTATGAACACTACTGTATTTTTTAATGTTTTTTTTTCTACAGCTAACAATACTTACCGTTCCGAGACGCTCCTCTAAATCCTCGATCCGTCGATCCCGTTCATCCCTCTGCCCGACCAGCCTCCTCACACTCTCCTGCAGCTCCTTGTTGTCGGTCTCAATCTTTTCCCGATGCTCATCCAAATGCCCGGTTGTTTTTTCGCGTTCTTCTGTAATTTTTATGATATTTGGTATTTAAAGACAGTTTATATAATTTTTGTATCCCCCCAAAAACCTACCTTCCAATTCCTTTATCCTCGCCTGGCTCGTCTCGGCCTTTTGCTCGAGCGCATCGTATTTTTGTTGCAGCGTGGAAATCTTAAAACCACAAAAAATCTATTTAAAAGATTGAATCACCTTTTCATTTGCATCCCCCTCCATTTTTTTATATTCGCAATATTCTGCTTGCAGGGTAGTAAGCTAAAAATGGATAAAACTATTTTTTTGGCTGTCGTACCTTTGTGGAAGTCTCAGCCTGGGCTCGCTCCTTTTCTTTCAGCTCCTTTTCTAGTTCTCCATTTTTCTCTTCTAGAGCCGAGATCTAAAAAAAATTATAAATAATCTTTTTCGTATATTTAGAACCAAAAAGTTTTTAAAAGAAGGATTAAGGCCTTAAAATTGACCTTAAAATCAGCTTCCTTTTGTACAGCAACACGAGTGGTTTCTACGGCTTCCGAGAGCTGCTCTTTGTGCTTAAATAAGGATATATACTGTACTAAAATCAAAAATTAATTATTAAAATATTGAACATACGAAAAAAACTAACCTTCTTCTTCTCGGCCTCCAGGTCTTGCTCCAGTTTTTCGCGGAGTGCGTCCAATGCCTGCTTGTCGGTGGACTGCTCGGAGGTGAGGAGAACGAGCCTAAAAATTCATATTTATTAATAAGTTAATTAAAAATTTACAAATGTTCGAAGTAAAATATAGACGACTTTACTTACTTTTCCTTCTCGTGGTCCCGCTCAAACGCCGTCTGCTCAATTTGGTTTCGAAGGTCGAGGGATTCGCTCTAAAAATCGTTAATAAATATTGCAATTTATTCAAATTAAATGTAGATAAATTTTAATGTTCAACAAACAATAAAACTTTTCGTTTTACCTCTAGCCTCTCAATCTCGTCCCTAGCTGTCCGGAGTTCAAGGTGGAGTGACGTATTTTCGGCTTGGAGCTCGCTAAAAGTTTTAATATACCATTTCGAAACAATTCTTTTATTAGTTTTATTAATTTAACAATTGCGTTGTAAGAATAGGGAAATTGTTAAAGACAGGGAGCTTCAAACCGCTATTAATTGAATTCTTTAGCTTTTATTAGCTAGGAATTATTTGCTACTGCTTCTATTTAATATATAACATTTTAATAGCTAAGCACGTGTAAAGTATCGTAATGGAGTGTTTGAAATGTTAGTCTAAAGCGGAACCTGTTGTCGTGCCTGGCTGATTGGAGACTATTCATCAATGTCTTCAGCTCATCCGCTACTGATGCCTTGGCTTCAAGGCGTTTGTTTTCTGCGGCCGCGTCTTCTAGCTAAAATTATTACAATAAAGATATTACATTAAATAAAAACCCACTTTTCGTTCAAGTTGCTTCACGCTAGCTGCTTCGTCTTCAGTTTTACGGCGTAGTGTATCAATTTGGGCTTGAAGTGATGTTCTAGAATTTTAAAGACACTGTAACACCAAGTTTTTATACTTACAATTCCTCGTGCTTTGCTTCGGCCAATTTCTCCAACTCCTGAACCCGCTCAGCCTTCCGGCTAGCTTCTCCCTCAGCAGCCAGCAGCTTCTCCTCGACCACCTTCAGTTGACTCTCTTCTGCTTCGAGCCTTGATTTCAATTCTCGCACTGTTTCTTGCTGTCGTAGCTGCTCTTCTCTGTGCTTCAGTTCGAGAGCTTTTTCCCTGTCTTCAGCGGCTTCGAGTTGTTCACGCAGGAGGCCGACCTCCAATTAATACAATAAATAAAATGCATTGAAAATTACCTGTTCGCTCTGGGTACCACTCTGCGCTTCAAGTTGTTTCTGAGTAGCCTGAGCTCTCCGTGTCTCCGTCTCCGCCAAGGCTCTAGCTGTTTTCGCTTCCGTTTCAGCCACTTCGATCTGCGACTCCAAGGAATTCACCCGGTTACGGTAGCTCTGTAATTAACATTTTTCTTTTAGTTTTTGCATTAGGGCGAACCTCAATATTTTGATCCTTTTCTTGAGCGCTCTTCTGCAGAACATCGGCTTTTTCTTGCAGGCTAGCCAGTTCTTTGTCTACAGCTCCTTCCTTCGATCGTAGAGTTTCAAGGCTATGCTCCAATTCCTTAAAACTTTGCATATAATGTATGCGGCCTCTTACTTACCCTAATCGTCTTCTCATGAGCCTCGAGCTTGTTCTTTTTTTGCGCTAATTCTTGCGTCAATTCGAGGACCCGATCGGCTTCAGCTTTTTCTGATCTCCGCACGGCTTCTCCTGTGGCTTCAGCCTCTTTCCGGACGGCTAGTAGTTCCACTTCAAGGGCTGCCACCTATAAAACTCACTCTAAAAGTCAACCGAATCTACCGTACCCGATCCTCCGCTGTTTGCCCTCTCTCCTTCCATTCATCCAGCCTTTTCTGCGTCTCTGCGTCACTTTCTGTTGCTTCTTTTCGAAGTCTGGCTTCCGCCTAAAAACTTATTACTGTTTAACAAATTCTACAAACCTCTCTCGCTTCCGTTTTGGCATGTTCAAGCTGTGTACTGAGTTGCGTAAGCCTGGCCAACAGTTCTCCATTCTAAAATTTAAATATGACCAATTAATTTTCATCTGAGTTTTAGGGATAATGCCCATGAAATAGGGGAACAATCTCTCATGCAAATCTCAATACCATCACCTCATCCAGCTCAGAATCAAGACTAATCGAATACAGGCGCTAAAGGAGGCTATAAATGGGCATGAAGACTAACCTCATTCTTCGCCTGATCAAAGTCCCGACCCAATCGATTCCGGGCATCATCGGCCTCCTTCTCAAGCTTCCTCGCCTTCTCTTCAACCTCATTTTTCAGCTGTTGCGACGTCTCCAATCTCGCCCTCAATTCGTGGATTTCTTGCTTCAGAGTCGCTCTCTAAAACGAATTCCAAAATTTGCTACAAAATACTATACCCACCTCATTCTCCGTATCTGCCTCATTTTTCTCCAACCTTCTTTGTAATTCTTGCACTTCTTGTTCGAATCTTCCCTTTTCTTCAGCGATTTTTTGAAGTTGGCTGGTGTCGACTTTTGCTGCTTCCTGAAATTTTGCATAGCCGATGAAATAAGAATGTAAAAACCTTAGCCAGCATTAAGCTTTGTAGGGCAGCCGATTTAAGGACCAATTCCTTTTCCACTTCGCTCTTCTCCTTTTGCAGTCCTCTCCTTTCGACTTCAAATGACGCCTTAGCCATTTCTAGGTCTTCTGCCAGTCGCTTCTCAAGTTCTTCAAGTCTTTTCTGGGAATCTCGTGAGTTGTTATTCTGGGCTTCAGCGAGTTGCTGTTTCATTTTGTGATGTTCCTCCTCAAGGCGCTCCTTTTCACTTTGAATCTCGGCCTGTTGTCCGATCATCACATTCAGCTGCATGAAGAGTTCCTGTTGCTCGCTGGCTTGGCGGTCGAGTTGTTGGGCCAGATCTCTCTGAAAGAAATATATTTTTACTGGCGGTTTCGATATCTTACTTTTTCTGCTATGAGCGTTTGGACATCGGCTGGTAATCTGCTTTCCAGCTGTTTCTTTTGGGCCTCCCATTGTTGTCTAAAAAAATGGTTGGTTAAAGTAGTGTATCGTAGCCATACCTATCTTTATCGGCTTTTTGTACTTTTTTCCTTAACGTTTCCACTTCATTTGTTCGGTCTTTCAGCTCCTTCTAGAAACGAAGTGTTAAGGAATTTACTAATTTCAGTTTATACTACCTTTTCTTAGCTTTTTTTCAATCTTATTTTCTAAAAATTGACCCTGATATCATCGACCTCCCGTAAACTGATCATAATGACTGGGTGACGGCTGGCACTCGACGGGGCATAATAATAAAGGCCAGAGGGAGATGGGGAGGCTGTAAATTGTTGTCGAATGGAATGGAATCGAGGGAATTTTGGCAATTGGAGAAATGGAGTGAAGCGGAATACTGATTCATTGGGGGCGAACGGTGCCGGGGGAATGGCTGTTGGGAAGAATGGGGAATTTTGAGGTTATAGCAATTGTACAGCCAATACAACGGCGAGGAAAATATGTAAAAGTATGATTTATAGAATTTAACAACATGAAATATGCAAATTCATGGTCAATAAAAGATTAAAGGTGCCTTAGATGAATAGAATCCCTCGAAAAAAATACAAAGCATTCTAATAGAAAAGTGGTACTAGTTAAAAATTACCAGAATACTGAAATCGAATAAAAAATAAGATTCATGGTTTCGAGGTTTTCAGCATTAAAAAAGGTAGAGATACAAATCATACAAAATATCCTGCAAAAAGTTCTATAATTCTTTAAAAAAAATTTGAAAAATTAGTTTTGACGATATACTCTCAAATTTTATGTAATTCTGAATAGGAGCGAGGACACAAAACGAGCAAGACTAATTCGAAAAAAATGTTTAAAACGCTTCAAAAAGATTACATGATGACTGGGTCCCTTAAAAGAGTTGGCTCTAAGGAGCCGAAGTCGATTTAATGATATTAAAACATTAAACTACAGATTCAGACCGTTTCCAACCAGATGAATCGATAGTAGACCACCTTAGCCGGTGAGACCCCTTCCTCTTTCTGTCTTTTGTCGGTCTTTTCCATACCCGCCCCATGCTGCCGCGTTGCCAACCTGAGCCGTTGTTTGCCCTCCAACATTCCGTCCAGCAAACCCACCCAATACCGCCTTCTTCCACACCGCCAACCCGCCTTTTCGGGTTAATCGCCTTCTTTTACCTCTTGCTCCCCCTCCTTTAAAGGACTGTCATACCCGCGCGCTTTGGAGCTATTCGCTTTACGAGAAAGTCCAAAAACAGTCAAGGCCGTGGTTGGGTTGGGTCTTTGTCTCAAAGGTTTTTGTCTTTTTCAACCGGTAAAACGGACCGGAAAGGGATATGATAAGTATTCCAATTAAGGGGGAACTAACGCAAGCAGGTAGTTTTTGGAAGGGTGGAGTAAGCTTACAGAACTGCCGGAGCGAAAGGAGAAATTATGCTATTGACGAAATTATTGACAGTGAAATTATGCTAAAATGAGGCGGCTAGAACTGGCTAGAAACTATTGTTAGATAAAGTATACTTCAAGTGGACCACTATGACAAACTAGCAATGAATTTTAGAGGAAATAGCTATCGAAAACACAGCCCAGGCAGGCTAGCAAAGATGCTTAGGGAATGTTTCAAAAGACCAGCAAGGCATGCTAGAAAACGTTGTCCGTTTAAAGGCGCGATTACAGAAAATGTGCGGGATATTTGAGAAAGCAGAGAACCTACAGTAAAAACCTTAGAAAAATAGCAAACGAAAAATTGCGCGAGGGCAAGACAGCAAAGATTATTCGAGAAATAAAATTGGGAGTGGTTCGCTTAAACTTAAAGCGTGTGTTCAGAGATTGCTAATCCACCTATTCGCGCAAAAGTGGGAGAGGGGGGAGAAAGCGAGAGAGAGAGAGCGAGAGAGAGAGAGCGAGAGAGAGCGAGAGAGAGAGCTAAAGAAATGCCGATCGCCATAGATGGTGACTTCAAATTGCATAAAAGTATGTACGCCTCGAACACCACGAAACCATGCTAATCAATAGGCTCAGACCGTAACAGAGAACGTCAATAGGAGCATAGCGTATCAATGAGAGAACCCAGAGAAATTTAGTGATGGTATTCCGAGTTCGGTTGGATGGGACAGTGAGGGAAGAGGTGGAGAGGGGAAGGGGGGACTGTTGGGGACATGGCTTTGTATTGACATTCTCTTCTCTAGGGGTGGACCCTTCCTTTCCTTTCCTTTCCTATCCACAACCACCACAGGGTCACGACCCCTCCAAACACTCGCACAATGAGTGCCCTAGCTAGCCACTGGTCCAACGCCGCTCAAAACTAGCAACGAAATTATTGAAATAGGCTGAGCTTATCGTATATGTTTATTTTATAGACTAAAGCTGGTTACCAGCTATTTTTTAATTGATTTAAAGCCGTTTTGGTCAGTAAAAACTTTATATTTTTAGATCTCTGGTCCGAAACCGGATCCAAAAGGGCGAAGATTGTATATAATTGTTTTCTTCGCATAAAATAGATGCTTAAATCGAATAAAATAATAATCATATATACTACAATCCAATAAAAGTAATTTTTTATCGTGAAAAATGACGCGTTTTCGCTTTTAAGGCACAAAATAGTTAAAATTTACCTAAAATGTGGCCGTTTGAAATTAATTAACGGAATGAACGGGCAGGTTTTATGCTGAAAGATGCCTTTTTTCATTTCGTGAACTATACCAGTTCAAACACGATTGAATTCATCTAATTAATTTTATATTTCACCGTCTATAAGAAGTAAAAAAAGTATAACCACCTAATATTTTTTGGTAGGCTTCGACGAGCAAAAAAGATTCATTTTAAAATTTGGTATAATAACCCCATAATACCCCATTAAACTGATAAAACTCCGCCCAATATCGATTCCAAAAAGCTTCAAAGTGGCTAGACTGAACCGGGGAGCAACAGAATGCACCTCAGAACGCAAAAAGCCTCCCGACTCATGAACGAGGCCAAGACTTTCCTTCCCCATCGCCCCATTCCCTCGTTTTCGTTTGAGCACGAGAAATAAGTGGCTGGCGAGAAGAGGGGGAGGATCAAGACTTGGGGAGGTTGACCCCCGGGGGAGGAACATCACGGGAAGGTGAGGATTTTTGGGAGGGCGAGGAACGGAGGAGAATGAGGGTTGCTAGGTCACGGACACGCGCAGAGGACTCATGCAGCCAGCCGGACCCCCCAAAACAACCATGCAAATCATTGAGAGGGCGGGGTCATAAACAACAATATTGACAGCCGTATATAGGAGGGTATTGTAGTGGTGAGCTGACATTAATGATACCTATAATCTCGCATTAATAGATACCAATAAGTGAAAAAATTTGAAAAAAATCATAGTAGCATCCGTAAACCCGCATTTTGGAGGGTATTGAAATGTACTTACAATAAAGCTAAATAAATCTTAAAGATTGCATCTTAGTTATTATAATTTTATTGCATTAAATACGCTTATTAAAAGTATTATAACGCAAATTAGATATTTAGAAACATTCGCTCCCGAAAAGACCACGATGCAGAAGCAACCCCCTGGAATGGCGTTCGATATCTGCAAAGATAAGGGTCGACTCGTCTCCTACGCGGGCCACGTATTCGCAATCTGTTTATTCTAGAAATTGAGGGCGACGCGGCCCGTTGAAAGAATAAATAAAAGCAGCCGCAGTGGTGCCCAAATTCCAAAAATAAATCTAAAAAAACGAAAAGTATCAGTAAGGGAAAGTGTAACTAAACCACAAAAACACATGGTGTGCTTGGAAAACGGAAATTAACATAATCGGCTTTCCACCTTGGGGGTTTATAGTTCTGATTTTCTGGTGTTTTCCAGGGGTGTCGAGAAGCGGAAATTGTGGATTGGGATCGATGGTTTGGGGGGTGGAGGGGGAGGGGTGAATGTTGGGAAATTTGAGCTCGAGCTCCGTTCGCTTGATTAGTTTAAAGGCGCAATGAGAATTTGGGTGTGGGGAGATTGTATAAACTACAAAATTTGCAATAAATGATATTGTAATAAATTGCCAATTAGACCAACATAGAAAACTAGAAGCCTTTCCAGGGTATAAACGTCAAAACGCATAGCCCAATTTGTTTTAAACGGATTAAATTTGATGATCGATACCCAACATTGTATATTGTTTTTTATCAACATCGAGTGTGCATAAAACCCAAAATAATCTAACTATACTGATGCATACAAAATACAAACCTCATCATCCTCCTCCTGCTGCCCTCCCTTTGGCTCCAAAAAATTCCGAATATATCCAAATAACCGTATCTCAGGTTCCATAAACGATAGCTAACGGAAAGAGACGGGAAGAAGCCGAAGAAGCCGCGGAATGTTTTCAGTGTTTTCTGACGGCGCGCGTGGCCTATTTGTTCCCGGGCTAATGACAAGAAATATCGGAAAAGCGGGGCCCACCCGCTTCAGCCTTTTTTCCGCGCTTTTACGAGAGCGGGTTTACGGTCAAACCTCGGGGAATTACGGCACGTGGAGGTCGGGGAAACACTGAAAGTACCGTATGTTGAACAGGAGGTTACTGTCACTACTTATATTACTTATATTCTGGTTTTTTGGCATTATCGGGGGGGTCTAAAATACACATTTTAACGTGGCCGTATAATAAAAGTTTAACTAAAATTTACACCAATAACTTAACATACAAAACAAACTTAAAAGGTTTAAAATTTAAACTGTAGGCGTGATTTGGCCATATTGCCCGAAAAATCTCTATATTTTGCCTTTTTAATCGAACTCGCAATTCTGGTTAGGAACCGCTAAAACAGTTCTTCCATTTACACCGAAAAATTCGAATCTTGCTGCTGGTGGTTGCTCTGCTCAAAAGTTGCTTGATCCCCCCCCCCCCGAAAATGCATAAGCACCGATATTTTCCATTTTCCGATTATCGCATTTAGGAATTCTCCCGTGTATCCCCAACCTGCGTCCAACTCCATCAAAAATTCCACCAAACCCCGTCTCGTGTCAGGGCTCAATTTTTAAGCATTTTGAGGGAAGATACCTCATCCCTCCGGGGACCCCTGAGACCCCAATTGATCCGACGCCCACCAGCAAGCCCGAAAATCCCAACGGCTTTGCGGGGCGGCCGGTAAACAGCCGGATATTCGGATTATCCTATCCAACCATCCAACCTCACCGGGGTGCCAGTATTCTAAATTCGCCTTCGAAATTTCGAAATGTCTACCGTTAGCCGTAAGAAGGTTGAGGAAAAGAGTAAGTTTCACTTATTAAGTAGTATTTTAGGGATGAAAAACCACTATATTTTATATATCGTAGAATTACAGCCGATTACCTACTTTTATACCTTGTCCAATTCAGAAAATATCAACAAAACTGACGACCTAAGCTTTGAAGAAACAAGCGAAGAAAGCGATGAGGTAAGCCAGTAAATCTCAAACCTAAAGGACAATCTCTATTCCCTAAGTTTCATCCGAATCCCCCAGTTTTTGCGTGTTCTGGTGTAGGTAATGGACGTGGTGACACAATCAGTCGATCTCGTCACAATCAACCCCCATCCATGGCGACTCAAGCGACTCACGAAGCATGGCAGCTCGATTTTGGTTCTGTTTCCTTTCAGTAGCTCGCTTCGTAGAGTATTAAGTTAATAGTGAAGAGATAGGATACCTTAAATTCACTTGAAACTGGTTTCTAGGATACGTCATATGATACGGAGCCGGAAAGCGATTCGGAGGTTGACTTCGAGATCAGGGGATCAGATTTGGCACGAGCGCATTGGATACAGATGCATAAAGTTAATAAGCAGGTGAGGGAGTTTGGGAAAGAGAGAGAGTGTGAGAGAGTGAGAGAGCGAAAGAGAGAGAGATACAGCTCGAGAGAGCAAGATTGCCTTTCAGCAGGTACGGTTGCGGTACATGCCGCTAGGAAGATCGAGAAAGAGGGCAATATTGAGAGAAAGTGAAAGAGAAATAGAGAGAGCGAGTGAGTGAACGAGAGAGAGAGAGAGAGAGAGAGATAGGGAGAAAAAGAGACTCACTGATAGATAGAGAACGAGCACTAACTAACTACATCTAGACAGACACGCAACATTTTCACCCTAGGGGTTTAAAGAGCGTACGACACTAACACCCAACCCTATTTAGACTGCAGTAATCGAACAAACATTCCTGGAACTCCTCAAATCCTATCGACACCTACGCCCCGTGTGGCCCTTCGGAAGGCGTATCGACCCGGAGGACGAGAGCTGGGAAGAGCATCTATCCCAAGATATCTACTTTAAGTAAAGTAATCTCTTCGAAAGCGCAATTTCCTTATTTAAGGAACCATTGTGGGGCCATACAAGCTGCATTTACAATGTTAATGGAGCACAAGGACGAGCCGGGATGGTAATTCTTTCATAAAAAAAACTAAAATTTTCCGCGAGGTTTAGTGTTAGTCGGCTACTAAATGAAATTGGTGCTCACCACTTCTACTATGACGCCACGGAATCTCATTTCGAGGTACGCTCTAACAATATATTTCTATTATATTAATGCATTTAGTGCTTCCAAGTAGCCTTTATGGCAGCACTAAAAAAGAAATGCACTGGTTCCTGCCGACTTGACGATGAGATTGAATCGTCGTGGAAAACGGTATGTAGTACCGTCATGTAAAGTATCCTAACCTGGCAAATTCTTAGTTCCTCGGCGAGGTCAAAGTCAAAATCAGCGAAGGTATCGCCATCCAGCGCGTGAATTACCTACGCATTGCGGTAACCTCCAGTGAAATTGCGGAAGTGAGACAGCAATGGCATACGGTAAGATGGGTCTTGGATATAGCAATTATTTTCTATATGTGTAGATCACAGAATATGGGGTGGAAAAAGCTGGGTTGGTGCTCTGCAAAGAGGCAATGCTGGTAAATTACAACATAAAAAATATGAAACGAAAGTTTTTGTAGAATTACAAAGCTCTACTCCATCAATACGGTCTGGAGAATCAGATTGCAGACGTGGACAAAGATGAGGAGACTCTACATCAATTTGTTAAGATGACCATGGCGGTAGGGAGAAAGAGAGCGAGAGAGAGTGAGAGAGAGAGAAAGAGAGGGAGCGAGAAAGATAGAGAGAGCGAGAGATAGAGATAAAGAAATAGAGAGAGGGAGAGAGAGGGAGAGAGAGAGAGATAAAGAATTAGAGAGAGAGAGAGAGAGAGAGAGAGAGAGAGAGAAATATACAATTTCTATAAATTCTTAGGCATTCCAAACTTCCGTCAGCTGCTGGACAACTAATGATGGATTTATGGGACTCCCAGCTTTATTAAAGTAGGCAAAATAGACAAAAATGCCCAAATTTTAGGGAATACGTTATGCAATGCATGCTACTCGACGTTTGCCCAACTCTTTTAAGAAAAGCCGTCCAACATGGTAATTTTGGGATTTCTAAGTGATATCTCCCATTGTAGGACTCGTCAAAATGTTAAAGAAAATCTTGGGCGGCGATGAGGTCAGCGAGCAAATTGAGCAAATGTGGAAGAAAATGTACCGCGTCGTCGAGCAGGTCAATTAAATTTTGAATACCAGTTTTAAAATTTTTAGGCAATAGTATCGAACGTACTCGACTATTGAATACCACCCACCTTCAGTTCGACGATTTCTTTTTTGATGACAAGCGATCCATTCGTGGCTAGTGTCCCCATTTGGGCGTTCAGTTTTTGGTTCTGTAAATAAATAAATCAACAACAATTTTAATAAAAAAATGTAAAATAAGTGATTTTAAAACTGACACACTGCTGCGCCGTCGCCAGGTCGCTTTCGAGACGCTTTAGCAATAGGTCCTTATTTTTCAGGGTTTGTTCTTGTATTTGCACCTGATGCCGCAGGGAATTTACCTAAATTTATACAAAATAATTAAAGTGACATTATTAATTAAAACATTTTTGATATTATTATTAAATTTGAAAAATTACCTCTCCAGCATTAATCTCATGCAAATCGTTCTCATCTGAAATCGAACTGCCAAGCGACTCGTGTGTCGGGGATGCGTTCTAAAAATCGGAAATTTCGACTTCAGACTCCTTCTACCGTACCCTCTTTATGGCCGACATATGGGAAAGTATCGCTGGTGTTCGTTTGAAATTAAGGGGTGAAGAAATGTGGTGAGATCGATTTTATGGCAGTGTGAAAGTGGAGGGGATTGGGCAGGGCAGGCTGGTTGTTTTCATTCTCCCACCTATCACTACCATCAATCTATGCCAAAATTAGAGGCATCGGGGGATGGAGAAATTGTTTGTTTTGTGGGGGATGGGAGTACTGTAGAAATTTGATACTTTAAATTAGCATAAAAATTGCTAAAAACGGTACCTGACGGAAAATAATAAGTTAATCCTCCACCCTGTTATGAGCCCAGTGCCAAAAAGACGTACCCGTTTTGAAAACCGGACTGCCGAGTTCATTTGGTCGAGAAGAATGGTTGAGCTTTCGAGGGCATCTCGTAGATGCGCCATTTCTGTCCGGAGGACAGAATTCTGAAAGTAAAATTTGTAAAAAATAAATTATTTAGTAAACAAAAATTTAGAATTAATATACTTAATATACAGAACACTCTCGACAATTCGATGACAATCAACCACAGCCAAATGCTACTTGATGAAATTTGATGAGGGGGCTGCCGGCTGCGAAAAAGGAGGCTGGGTGGAGGAGTGTGACGGACACCGCGTTAAAACTGCCCTTCCTCCCCCACCCCATAGAATTGATGATAATCAACGACATTCACTCGTGCTCAAGGGCAACCACCCAGCGGGCTTTTTTGTCGTGATTCAACCCCGGGGGTCTCGAGTTGCAAGGAAAATTGAGAATTTTAGAAATCTTCATGCGGCCGCGCCATGCAACACGATCGTCAGGTAAATTTTCTTGTGTAAACTAATCCGGCCTTTTAAAGCTTGCTGCGCATCGCGGGTGCAGCAAAATTATCAAAAAATATAACTAATAAAATACATAACGTAACAAATATGAAAATACAAAACTACAAAATAAATGGCTCGTCTTTAGAGCAAAGGCTTCTTGTCTCGGCATGCTAAACCTAGTCCACTCCATAACCCATCCCTTTCCAAGACCTTTAAAATACCTTTGCAAGCTCTAAAACATTCAACAGGATTACCGTAATAAAGAACGCCAAAAAATGGATGATTAGGAATGAAAGGGAAGAAAAACCGGCCCCCTACCCACACAAAGCTCAGTGACAACCCCCCCACCAACATCCACCTGTCAATAATGGCTATCAAGTCAGCGGGTGGTAAATGATCGGGAACACCTCAATAAACTTACGTTCTTACTACGCTAGCATACTATATTCAGTTTGCTTGACCAATTTCAACTATTTAAGACCGCTATTAATACGACGACAATACAAAAACTATAATATATAGAAATTTATAAGTATATAAAAATAAACTACCTGATTACGCAGTTCAACCGTCTCTGTGTACTGTTGTGGACTCTCCGGTTGAATCCGTACTAAAATTCAACTTCTTTTTATTTGCAACACTTTTTCGCCTTACCACTATCAGCAACTTCCGGTATATCCTCATATATAAACCGCTCAGTATAGCTCGGCGCCGGGTTGTCATTCTAAAACGTGACTCATTACCGTAGTACATTAGTGACTACCGTAATCCTTTGCTGCACTGACCGCCCAGTTTTTGGAGATCGCATGATTTGAATAACATCTGAAATTGTCTTTTTGGGAAAACGGTTCGTAACTACGCTAGAGTACTATGCACGTAACGTACCGGCAACTCTCGAGGCGGCTGTAGCCTGCGCTTTCGCTTCACTCAACCCTTTCTCGAATTCCAAAGCTTTTTTGGCTTCTTGCGTCTTCGCCAGCTCAACGGATAACTGAAATAAAATAAATGTATATTTCTCTCTCTGTTTATCTTCTCTATCTCTCTCTTTCTCTCTGTCTCGCTCTCTCTCTGTCTCACTATCTCTCTCTCTATTTCTGTTTCTCTCCCATTCTCTCACCTGCTTACTATTTTCCCGATGCCGCTTCAATTCATCCTGTAACTTCTTCTCATTCTCTTCCATCACTAAAAAACTTTTCAACAACTTCCCCAAAAATATACCTTTAGAAGAGGGCCCCGGCCTTGGCGCAAAATCCCGAAATTGGGCTAAATAATTTTCTTATGCCATATTTTATCATTTTTCATACCTGCCAACACTTCTTTCCTATCCTCCCCATATTCCTGTCTAGCCTCTTCGTTTCCAATAATCCTCGGCATTGCCATCTTCCGCCTTTCGATGCGTATTGGAGTTACGCGTACCACATCGAGCTTGCTAGGACCGCCAAATTGTCTAAATCTTTTATTTAGCTTTTGTTTACGTGACTTACGCATATTTCTTGCCGGTATCATCGGATGCTACCGAAATTTTTGTGACGTTTACTGTGGATGTTGTAGGTGTCTAAATACATCGTTTTAAAGGCGCAGGGACAGCTAGGAAACCTGATATTCCGGCTCGCTTTTGTTGTTCTCCAGGTTGACGGGTTGATGCGCGACGTGAGGTCGATCTGGTCGAGCACTAACCACGATGTATGAGCGCCGAATTTGAGCCTTAAGACATTTCTATAAAGTTTATAGCAATTTCTTACGGTATTATGGGTCTGAGGTGGAGTGCCAACAGAAAAAATGGCTCTTCTTTGACTGACAAGTCCAATTGGGATCTAAAAGGTTTTGAAGCTAAGTTAAATAAGCAAAGATAATCAAAAAATATTCTTATAAAAATTAATATTAAGTCAAAAACTATAATTTTTGTATATTTTTGCTTACCGTAGGCGCGGGCTCCAATTCATACGCGCTAGCCGTTTTCCCGATCACCGGCCGGTCCATCACCCAGTTTGACCGGGAGCTAAAATAAAAATTAACCAAATTAAGTTCGTTAATGACGTATTATTGCTAATATTATAAGATATTAATCACCTCGGAATACTCTTTGAACGTCTCGGCGTCGGCTGCGCGTAGATGACCTCCTGGCGACTACGGTAGTACTGCGTACAGTGCGTAGCCCGCCGTTCTGAGATGGCCCGACGATTGGATCGTAGTGGAGGGTTTTGGGGGCTGAAAAAAAACCAAGGATTCGGCTATCGTTTTTGAAACAAGGTGGGGCGTACTGGGGTCAAATCGGTGGGGGACACAAATCGGGGTTGGTGCCGCATAACAAGCCGCAAAAGCTGCGTCACGCCCCAAAACGGGTGAGTCAACCTCGAAATAAAGCGCGTCTTACAAGCAGTATTTATTAATGCAGTAATATCGAAGCGTTTTGGCATTTTGGCAACCAAAATCGATTTTGGCAAAGATTAAAATGTTTTTCATTTAATATCATAAACAAAAAATATCTGAATTTTGTAAACGCATAGAATACTTGAATATCCTTCATCAAAAAACATATACAAAAAATATTCTTCAAAATTTTAATAAACCAATTTTGTTAAACCCTAAAAAACTATAAAATCCATCATAAAATCCCACACACCCAGGAAAAGCCGCGGTCTAAACAAATAATGGCGTGCTGTTGGCAAATTGCCAGCCATAAAATAGAAAAAAATTTGCAGTATTATCGGACTGTAACTAACAAAAATAAATTTAAAACTTCAAGCTTAAATTTTCAATTTGATACTATGAAATTTTTGTAGCAATGTGCTAAGCGCCCATTTATAAGCCACGTATTGCGGTGCTGAAATTCTGGGGGCCGCAGCTATATTTGACCAAAACGAAATCCGCGAATAATGCCCCAGAGCCCCCCGGCCAGTCAATTGCATCCGCACCAAAATGCGAATATTGATCTATGCAGAAAGTCGCATCCGGAAGGGGTTTTTCTGAAAATGAGCCCAAAGTCTTTTTTGGATTTGAGTTTCGATCAGCGAATCGTTTCGGCACCCCCGGATCGGAAATCAATCGTTTATTGCAACAGAAGTCGGGGGTTTCGCGACTTTTCTCATAAACAGATCGCGGGAGGGAAGGGCATGAAAAAAGGATATATGGAATACTAATGCGTTTGAAAGTTGACAATATTTTTTATTAAAACCATAGGATCTTTGGTATTTCCGGGGGGGGGGAGCCCGAATTTTCCTATGAGTCCGGCTATGTATAGTAACGTCCAAAAAAAGCGCTACAATAGCCTTTTTCGCAAAAAGTTTGGCATGTTTCTAGTAAAAAAGTCATTTAGAACATTTTGAAAATGCCGAAATACACCGACACCAAAAAAATCGATGTTTTTATCGAAAAATATATATATTTGGATTTATTTTGATAAATCTGTGCAGCTTTTACTGTTTAGAAACACCGAAATACAGTTGATAAGCAAATCCTCAAAAATTCATTTCCCTACACCTTCCCCCGGAAGCAGTAAAGAACCACGCGAAATCCTAGAATTCGAACCTATCAAACTTACTACTTATCAAAAATAGATAAATTAAAGCACCGCCCGAAGCAAGACGCAGACTACCCGGAATAAGCTTTTACCCCCACAAAAACCTCCTTTCCGAAGATGATTTGGCGCCTGAGAATCGGGGCAAAGGCGATGCGACGCTCGCCCCGTCAGAACAAACACATTTACCCAATGGCTCGCCTCGTATCATAGGCCCCAGGGCGGGTCACACATTTTATTTGCAGCCTTGATAAGTATTTAGTAAAAAATTGTATAGTTCTGGCAAAATTTTAGAATTCTCAAAAGCGTTTAAAATATTTTTTGTAAATTGTAGCAAATAAAAACTACGAAAAATTTGAAAAATACCATATCTATTATCAACAGGCTTGGATAGACGGAAAACTAAATTAATTCCCCCCACCTGCTAACAGTCCAGTACCAAATTTACTCAGACGCTCGGACGCTAAAATACATTCATAGATAAAACTCACCAAGATCTCTCCGAATCAAATCTCCGATTTACCGGCACTTCATCATAGCGTGCATTCATCTCTAAAAAACGGCCAAATGCATATGGGAAGCCGCATGAACTGAAAAACGAGCTGGCCCATTCACGTGTATTATGTGGAATAAGCCATCCCCCGACCCCCCGCCTAAACCTGTATTTCCCCCCATGATTCTGCTAGACAATAAAACATATCTAAAAACTGTACCACTTTGCCATGATAGCCGCATCGAGATGAGAAGCTGAGATCTCTCGAGAGAAGTGTTGAGCTGGCCCTAGTACGGACTTGATTGAAACTTTACAGTCAACATCTGGGGATGCGCCCGAATCGGAAATCAATTCCCCGGAGGGCGCGTGGGAAAAGCCGAGCCGCTCTACGTTTTGGTGAATTGAGAAAAAATGGAAGTTGGCTATAGTTGGAGGATGATAAAAACGAGGAAGACATTGGGATTGGGATAGAAAACGTAGTCCCCTACTCCCAACCGACCAGTGTGTCATTGCTCACGTTGAATGGCACAAACGCCCCCATTCACTAACCTTTTCTGCCCCATGGGAATCTACCAACCGCAGCTACTGGTCGTAAGATTTTTTGTGCTGCTTTATCATCAACAACGAGAGAGATAAAGCGGCAAAAAAAAAGAAAAAAAATCATGTTTGAGTCGAAAAACCGCGAAGCGGCTGTTCAATTTGGCAAGATTAAATGGCTTAATCCTTATCAAACACTTTTAACCGAATGATCGAAGATGCCGAAAACGAGAGGCCGATGTCCCAGCGGGCCACTCTCAACATGCTACATGCCGGTCTCTTCCGTGTACACTCAATCCATGTTGACCAATCAAAGGTTTGGCCTGGTTCACTGCGGCTATCACAGTACTGTTGAAAAGACGTAGAAGCCTTATATAATTATTAATACAATTCAGACAATTTGGCAAGAACCACGTCTAAAACTCGTCTTCAAGCGGTCCATACGGGCGAAGGATGGATTCCAAGGCGCTACAGCTGACGCCCCTGGGTTACGGTCGTGGTCTCGCCGCGCTTTGCCATTTTCGCGACCCCCGGCCCTTTTGACATCTACGACTTTTTAATTTTCACTTTGCCGTTTCGTCGATGTTATTGATCTTTTTTATTTAGTTTATTTCTTGCTTTTAATTCTCACACTAAAGTTTTCGGTGGCAGAAATAGCTAAGTTTTTCACTGATTCAGCGTTCCAATCCAGATTTTTTTGACTGGGAGGGTAAAAACTACAACCTTTAGAGTCTGCAGCAGGATCGTGCCCACAAATTTTTTAAATTTTATCTGATTATAGTGACTAGAGTGGTCATGTCGAAAAACGCGAGCGGCAAGTGATCTTCTTGCCAAAATCTTGCCAAACCTAAGCGCTACCACCCCATTATCACAAGCTCCGGAGATTCGAATTTAGAGAGTTCTTGCGTTTTCAATTTTGACGAATTCACTTCGCGGCACGGATAATTGATACCCTGCTAGGAGAGTCTCGCCGATAAACCGAATTCCGCCACATTAATAATAGTTTGTCAAACTAAATGTTGTAAATCAGGCTTGTTATAGCCTAAATAGGTGCGGCAGGCCTAAAATAACCCCAGGTGGAGCTGGACAAGACGCTAAACGATCGCCAACCGCGGCACGCTGCTGATTTTTTTTTATGAAACAGACTGCGATTTAGAAAGAATGGTCCAAAAACATATCAGATTGAAGTCGGGTAAAGCTTGGGACCTGCCCTTCATAATCCGAAAGTGCAGCAAGTTTGGCGATAGAATCCTGAAAGTTATAACCCTTACTTCACATCGGCCAAAGTACGCGTATTTGTAAATCCGCGTATTTTTTCGCGTTTCCAAGCCGATTATCTAACGGAATCTATTTTTTTTAACCCATATGGGCTTCGAAATCAGGTAGATCATATCCGAATCTGTCATAACACTACAAAAAATGGAGTTGCTTTTACCAGCATTACAATTTTTGCTAGGTAAAACCGCGCCACCTAAAAATTTTTACTCGCCCTGTATATTCTACACTAATATACAAACGGGTTGATAAAGCTTCCGATGCGCTATATCCTCTTGCTCGCAACACGATTTTCCACTTTTTTCGACCGCCATCTCTGATCTCCGATTTCCTAACTTTTGATTTTCACTTTCCATTTTGTGGATGTTGCTGATTTTCCTATCGCATTTATCTTTCTTTTCAGTCTCGACACTACACACTCGACACCATCAACATGGACGCCGTCGCTAACACTACCCCCGTCACCAAGGACGTCAAGAAGTCGAGGAGCGGCAAGAGCAAGAAGGCCCCAAGTGAGTGCTTTTGAGCGATTCGACATTTGAAATTCTTGCTGACTTCATTTGCCTATCCCGAAGCTCTAGAAAATAGCCTGGAGAATAGTAGCTTTCCAGCTTTTTACGCACCGCGTTGCGCCTTCTTGTTGCGGTTTGTGTGCTGTCCCTAATTTTTTCTTTTCAGCGATGCTCGCCGGCGGCCAGGACTTTGCCGACATCGACTACATGCCCGACTGCTTCACGCTGCTCAGCAGCGTCGAGGCTGCTCCTCCTAATTAAGTTTTTTTTTTGTTCTCGATTTAACCCTGGATAAATTTTTTGTTTTGTTTTCATGTGCGACGTTTTTGAAGAATAATGGTTAACACCCAAAGTTTTTTGTTTAAGAGTTGAGGCATCGTAAATTGTTGTCGAACTTGGCTTCCGAGAAGAAATGAGGTTTTTTGTTAGATCTTCGGAACTTTGTTCCCGGGGGAGTCTTTGCTAATCATTTTTATGTCCAAAATTGATGCCGGAAGCACGATGTTTCATACAGCGTGGATAGATATCGTAAATCACACGGAGACCCCTGGTTTTCGAGCATTGCCAAATTCCAGTTTTTGTAGGTTTTCTCGAATTTACCCTTTGTTTAGGTTTTTTTATTTTTATACAAAAAAATTGAGGATGCTCTTGCAACTATTAGGTTATCCTCGCCTCTAGCCGTTTCACCATAGAACTAAACACGGGGGGCCATACGCACAGGGGCACTCGTTTCACAGGTCAGGGAAAAGGCCTGTAGAAGCCCCAAGTATACGATTAAACGATTGTAAATCTATATAAATCCTCTAAAATGAATAATATTGATGGTGAATTAACAATTTACAGCTAAAACACAAGATAATGGGCCAAAATATCTTTTTGCGATGAAAATACAGTTTTTAGCTTGATTCTAGCTTTTTTTAGCGATTTTTTTCTGCGATTTCTCGACGGAATTGGAATAAGCATAGTCGAATTAGTCAGACTTGACTGATTTTACAAGTAAGGCGGTTATACGTTGATTCTAGCGTTTTTTTTGCCTTACGTAAGCTTACCAGTGAAACGACTGCCCCTGTGCGTATGGCCCCCGTGAAAGAAACTTTTTTCCTTTCCCAATAACTTATGCCGCAAAGACTGTAGCATCTTTACCGGGGCGATGAGTTCTATAAAACGAACCACTCCGATACAGTGTACACCCGTTCTCTGTGCCCATCATACGACCGATGCCCCAAGGAGGGCGCTTGAAAGCCAGGAATCCCAATAGAACTACTTTCTAAATTTCTTCGCCCGATCCTTTATTCCTTGATTCATAACTTTGTTAAGGTAACCGGGATGTCGTGCGACGGAATGGATGGGAAACCGCTGGAGGTGCTGGAGGTGTGCTTTGTCGCTTTTATCTAAATGGGGATTTGATGGCGAGCTAAAACTATTTCTTGTATCGATTGCTCGTCGTTTCTTAGAATCTTTATATTTATTCCAGACTGCTAGCGTAGAGAAGGACGACCAGGTGCCTGTCGAGCTGACTCAAACCGATGAATCTGGGATGGCTGATGAAAAGCTTCCGCCATCAGGTATAATTTTATTCTAGAGTAATCCTTTTTATTTAGTTGACGTCAAGGATGATCTTGTGGCAAAGGGGCAGACTAACGAGCAGCCGGTTGATGTGAATGAAGACGATCTGCTGAATACTTCGCTCAGTATGGTTTTCAAAGCGCCATTCCAATTTGGGTTCTAGATGCTTCTTATACTACAGTTGCGGAAGAGGCGGCTGACCTTTCATCGATCAATGGTGAGTAGAAGATATCTTGATATTGTTTATGTCTCAGATGTTATATCTGAGGAACCCGTTGTGAAAACCGTCAGTTCCGAGGACAAATCCACCGAGAAGAAACCGCAGCCGCGCACTGGCGGAATAACCACCGGTACGTGGCCGTTTTAGGAAGGGGGTAGTGAATTGGCGACGCTATAATTTTTTGTCTTTAGGTGAGCTGGCATATCTCACTAGGCAGCCCGACGAAGCCGACCCCCACGGTTTGAACACCGAGGTACTTAATTCCTACATATATCAAATTTTTGGCTATTTCCAGGTGCTCGTCGTGCATAAGGGCCAATGGGAGCAGTTATTCACCGCGTGTGCTGAGCGAGACAATTCCGTCTGTGTCAACATGGTGCGTCTAAGGAACTTCCTTGAACATTTTCCGGCTCGGGCTGCCACGAAGTTTGTGCACAAGGTACCGGCAGTTTACTTTCAAACCTCATTTAATTCAGGTGCCGCTGAAAGATTGGAAAGCTGGAAAATTTGTGAAAGGGACTCACCGGGGCCACTTCTTTGCCAAAAAAACTATGCTGCGTGGCTTCTTGTTGGACGAGAACTTTACGAAAGCGCTGGAGGTATTTTAAGCTGGTATTCTATCTACGAACTTTTGTAGAAGCGAGAGCCGGCTGCATCCGGCTCGCCGACGAAAGGTAACAGGCTAATAAGCTGACTTCTCAAAAATTCACGCGGAGAAACTTAGTTTTCAAAAATTCAAGGTGTGCTTGGCTAGTTAGCTTTTTCAGATGCGAAGGCGGTGGCTGTTCCGAAGAACGCTCAAGTTTGTTTTGAACATCTTCCGCCATTATTTTTTAGATTCAACCGGCAAAGCGCAACCGACATAAGAAGAACAACAACTCGAAGGCGGCGCCGAACGTGGATACCTCGCCAAAGAAGACTCCGGCGCCCAACAACAAGGCTGAAGCTTCGGGAAACAATTCTGCGGGTAATTTTTGTTGATTTGTTATATATAGATCATAGGCTCGTCGAAAGATCGGAACCCTAAGGAGAATAAGGCGCAGAAAATTACGTCAGCCGAGAAGCCCAACAAGCCAAACAAGGTTTTTAAATCTTGTCAGCCCGACCATCAATTTTAGCCACAAGCTGCTACAAATCGTCCGGCACAAACGCAGAAGCAGCAAGCAGAAGCCGGGAAAGGCAAACAGTCTTCTGAGATGGTAAAATTGTTTTCCAGATAGACTTTGAATTTTTCAGAGAGCTTCCTTCCCCAAGAAACGTCAGGGATCTGACAGAGCTGTGGGCGGGAATCGATACGCGGAACAGCACAAACAGCAGTAACTCTTTTGAAGTTATGCTTCATTGAATTATTAGAAGACACAACGATGTCCGTGACAGCCGGCCTGGATCTGCCTTCAATGACAATTACCAGGGACTGGCAAAGCGTCCGCGTGTCTGGGAAACCCCGGTTTGTTTTTTTCGTAATTTCTAGGTTGTTCATAGTGAATTGTTTATCTCTTTTTGAAAGCCATTTTGAAACGGCTTCCTCTTATTAACTCGTTTTTTTAGTTCGGAGGCCGCCCGAGTGCCGATTTCCTGGACGTCATGCGACAACCGTTCCAGAACGCTCCTTTCGCAGGCAACATTGTATGTCTAGATTTGGCGTACCTTATTCATCTTGTTGTAGAGTGGGTCCCGCTATGCTGGTATCGCTGGGTTCAACTCCAACATGAATCTCTCTGGATTTGGTGGGCCCCTGGGGTTCCAGGGCGGAAGTCGGCAAGAAGATTACGTAATGTTCATGTTCATTTTTAATAAAAAACTCCATTCAGAACCAGACCCTGCACCAAATGCAACGTGTAGAGGTGGAAATTGAAGATATCCGCCGGCGTAAGCAGCAATTTGCGAGGTAACGTCTGTTTCAAAATCTACGTTGCCCTATTTTAGCTCATTCAACGCGTTCAACTCGTCGGGACAGTACTACGGCCAAGCTGCCCCAGCCCCGCCAGCGTATGCCTTTTATTCAGTTGTCTTAAAAAAATTTTAGCCCCGTCGACCCTTATGCTTTGGGATATTCCGCCGGGCCGTCGAATCACCGGTAAGCTCGTGTTCATTTTCTTTATTGCCTTTTCCAGTTACAACTTCGGCGCTTGATGATGCTGATGCCGGTGCAATTATCGAATCATTTGTTCTAATCATAATTCTTGTGGTTTTTTGTTTTTCTGTGACTTTTGGTTCTAATATAAACTTTTCTTACTCCGCAAGTCAGTTACATTCGTGCTAATCCTTTCTTGTGCAAGCGCTGATGTGAAGTTACGGTAAGGGTGGAACAGCGATTTCTGCTCTCTAATGGCAACACACTGAGGTCGAGAGCGCAATTCGGCAAGCAGTCATCCATCACCCTTAAAAGATGATGCGTCGATTGGCGTTGGGGCACAGCTCGCGCATCCGTTGATAACGCCTGATACGAGCTATTGAAAACCCTGGAAAAGCGACTGGCCCGGCCATTCGACGAGGCTCCGCGATGTTGATCCGTGCGGCTCTCCTCTTGGCCCTAGCCCTGTAGGTTCTTAATAATGTTTCAACTGAGGTTCCAACAGGCCTATTATCACCACCAAGGTTCTTAACAGAGTCGGTTAGTTGATTTTCCTGTTTCGACTCCTTGCTGACATAGATCGGATTGAATCGCCGTGTAATCAAACGGATCAGAAAGTAAGCTTTAGATTGGCCGAGGCCGATTATGATTATACCGGAAGGGACTATATGAAGGACAAGGCTGAAAGGCTGATTTTCGGATTATGGAGGGTAAGTAAAGGCTCCATAATAATAGCGCCCTCGACAAGACGCAAATACACCATAAACCAAAAAATCTGCCAATCCATTTTTATCCACAAGCCTCAAAAACCACCACGCTAAGTTCAGGTAGCTGACGGAAAAATTGTTCACGACATGATTGATAACGCCCTGGCGGCAGGATATCGTACATTCGACACGGCTCAAGGCTATGGTATGTTTCAAGCGTTTGCCCACAAACATCCTCCTCCCAACTCTTCCGCGTTTTTTAGGCAATGAGGAATACGTTGGACAGGCTTTCAAAGAACTTCTACCGAAACACAACTTGACCAGGTTTGTCTTATAAGCATCCGAAAACGTATGTGCCTTTTCAGGGAAGATGTTTTTATCACCACAAAGGTCAAAGAAACAAACCAAGGGCCACTCGCCAAAGGGTCGATCGAAGAGTAAGTTTCTATATGATTAAAATTCCACTTTGTGCAGGTCACTGAAGAAGTTGCAAGTTGACTACATCGATCTGATGTTGATCCATTGGCCCGGAGCATTGCCTGATGATCCCAAGGACCCGAAGCATAATGCCACCATGCGAAAGCAGACCTGGCAAACTATGGAAGAGTTCTATGGTAAGTGCGATTCACCAGTAAAAATTAAATTTTCCAATCTTAATAATACCGAGGTCATGACGTATTTTTTAGGGCAAGGTAAACTCAAGGCCATCGGTGTATCAAACTTCCTGCAACATCATCTAGAAGATTTGCTCAGCTACGCCAAGGTAGGCTTCATCGACCCACCGACCCAATAATCAGGTCTTCCCCGCTGCTGACCAATGTGAATACAACTTTGCCTACCAAACCCAAGATCTCCTCAAGTTTTGCAAAGACAAGGGAATCATTTTCGAGGTAACTCACGGCAAAATAAAAAACACCCAAGTCCTAGGCGTATGCTTGCAGCACAAGGACGAAGGACAAGGGTAGGGTCAACCCCACCTATGATGAGGCCAAGGTGGAGGAGCTGGCTAAGAAATATGAGGTGTCGACAAAGACACTTCAGTTCGCTTGGATTCTCAACCAGGGAATGAGGTATAAACCTATCTACAACTTTATCCCAGTTTTACAGCGTGCTTACACGTGCCTCATCACCGGATCACATCCGCGCCAATTTTGGTGCTGATAATGTGGTGAGTCGACTAAAAGGGTCTAAAACCAATTCCACACGAGGACATCGAAGCTATAAATTTTCAGACAATGTCGGCGGAAGATGTGAACTCCCTGAAGACCAAGGAAGTTGGGACCAAGATCTGTCTGAACCCCGCGGAAGTGATCTATTAATTTTTTGCCGAATAAAATTGCATAATCGTCATGGATAAAGTCACAAACACAAAAAGAAAGATTAAAGTAAAATTATTGCGAATTTGCTAAAAAAAGGATAATTCGAGTACGACAAGCTACGCCGAACGGGCGATCGTTATCAGTACTGCTCGTCAATTTCCAAATCATTCGATTTTTGGTTCTACCTGAATTTCTTGCATTTTTGAAGCTAAAATATCTAATTTTCAACTTTTCCATCTCTTTTGCGCTTTTGCACTATATGAAATTGACCGTTGTTTTTCCGCTTAGCTTGTCGTGGTTGCTATAATGACTCTTGAGATGGGGAGAGTTGTCCGTTTTGTGAAATGCTATACCTCCTTTTTCTACCCGCTGAAGAATGGCAGGCGTGCTGTTGGCCCGGGGCCTTTCTCTGCCATTTTCTTGGGGGATTTACCCTGCTCTGGCATCGGGTATCTTGCTGATCCCTCCACTAGCTAGTTTTATTGGGTCTCTAGCTTGTTCCTTTCCATCCAATCCTCTGACAGCTGTTCACAAGCGTTCCATTATCGTTTGTTTTTAGGCAATGCGGCCCGTACTAATACTACCGATATGCTTCATGGCGCTTGGTAATTTGATTTTTCTTCGCTGGATGTTGTTTTTCAGTTTCTTCCTTCCCACTTCAATCGCCTGAGCAAGAAAGGGGATTTTTCGACATCTCGCAATTCTGGCCTGAGGATCTCGATTTCAAGTAAATACCGAATTATGATTTTACCTTTTTTAGAAAATTAGACGCTCAATCGGCCGAATGTGCTGTGGCGTGCACCGAATACTTTATGCCCTTGTTGGGCTCGGTATTTCGAACTGGATCTAACGAGGAGCGCCTCAACGAAACTTGCGCGTAAGAGCAATGTTGTTGTTTATTTATTTAATTTCTAGCGAGTTCGAGAAGGCTGAGGAATGTATACAACAACAGAAGGACTGCCCAAAGAACGAACTGTATCACACGATGACCTCTGGGCTCCGATATATGTGCCACGAACAACTGCCAGGTATTTCTGTAAGACCTTTATATGCCATTTGTTTTAGCTTTCCAAGCAAGCGTCCAGTGCATGGATAATGTTGGCGAACAAGTGTACCTGGGTATGAACTTCTGACGAAAAACGTTATGTTTTTAGAATGTGACAATTCATGTAATCCACAGGCTTTGCTGAGTGGATTGGCCGTCAAGGTATACTTTCTACTATTTTTTTAAAATAGAGCTTGTTTAGGAAGTGCTTACGCAAGGACTCGGCCAAGGATTTGATGGAGGTTTCATCAAAAATTTTATCGATCCACATATGATGACCATGGTGGCTTCCGAGTCCTGCAGGTTGAGCATCTAATATTTGTCATTATCTTATTCTCATGCTTAGGATCGGACAATGCATGCTGGAATGTTATCGCAACAAATTCAATATGCTTTGTGAAGGGACCGCTGGAAGCTTAGTCTCGGTTAGTTTCTTTCAGAGATGATTCAATGCAATTTGTTAGGAGGCAATTGTTCGTCCGCTCGATTCTTCCGGCTCGAAGGCCGGGCTCTTGGGAAGTGTCTTCGGCGTCTTTTTGCCGGCGCAATGCCGATTCATGTACGACAATTCACTTTTGAGGTATGGATTTACGCACAATTTTATCTTTTTTTTTTAGGAAATATCGCATCGACCCAGCTTTGGACAAGGATTTGAAGCGGATGTACAATGCGGCGGGCACGGCAAAAGCGGTGAGGCTTATACTCCGTTTTTTAAGCCTTTCTTTGGCATTTATGTATTAGTTGGGCATACGTCAGCGTAAACTATTGTAAAACGAACTTTTAGGCCGTGCCAGCTCCTGCCTTGACGGCAGACCAACAGGTTCTGGAGGCGTTGCGCCCACTCTATGCTGGACATAACGCTGGCGTTAGGCACGATGACGGCCAAGCGGTATTTTGAAAGATTTTTGCGTATACCCTTTTTACAGGTCCCATCCGAAGAAACAAGCGGTAGCGGGGCTTTCGACCCGCAGATGCAGACGATCCTGGACACACTCCCGGAAGGAATCTCCGGGGATGGCAGCGGCGAAATGGCGGTTGGCGATGCTTGAATGATCTCATTTCTTTAACTCTCTGTGTTGCTTTTGTCACTAACTTACCAGTTTCTCACTTTGCTTCAGCGATTGTATCTACTTTTTGCCCATTTTGCTGTGTTTTAGTTGCTGATCTTTTGTTTGTAGTAAAATAGACGAGCTTAACAGCATTCCGCAAATCATCGCGTACATGATAATAGTATGCGAGTTGAAGTTAGCGGGTTTACGTGTACTGTTGCTTCGTTGTACGCCGTTTTGGTTTGACTTGGAGAGTTGCCATTTCAGATTACAAGCACTTATAGGCAAAAAGGCGCAGAGAAACGTCAGCTTCACTGACCGACTTTTTCGAAAATGATCCTTTGATCGGTAACGAGGAATCATTTCTGATGGAGAAAAGTATGGATTGGTTATCTGACTAGCCCTTTTTCGGTGTGTTGCCACTGGAATTTGAAAGGAGTCCAAGCGGACTTGACTGGCTTTTAGAAGACCGGAGCCGGAATGAGCTTGGACGAAGTAAGCCTGATTTCCAAGACTTTAGCATTGAAACAAGCAGCGTGTCCGACAAGTTAGGGCTTTTGCAGCTTGGAACAACGTCGACGATCCTGCTTCTCATGAGAATACCCCGCAATATTTTGCTGTTGGTATGTTGCAGCGCGTGTTAAATTTAGGAGTTCATCACAAAGATTTAAAATGAGCCTAAAAATCGTTCAGAGCCGGGCAGCGAAGAAAAGGTGAAACGGTTGCGGCTAGAGCGAACTATGGACAATGCTGACTTATATCTTGCGCACTGGATTATTCCTGGTCATCAATATCGGGTAGATGTTGAAGTGGAGCCCGAGGATCAGGGTCGGTTAATATCTTTGGTCGTGAACCGAGTTTCAGGTGAATTCGTATGTCTATTACGGACATATAAGGCTTTTGCCGTAAATCGCCTCACCGATGCTGATATCGAGGCGTTGTTGCAAGAGATTGATATTCAGAAAAAGCGGCGAAGTCTCCCTACGTGAAGTTGCGGCGCTTAGAATTCCTACGGTGTAAGAGTTGTGCATTCCGGGTGTTTTCAAAGCTTATGTATGCTGTGATAAGGATGTCAATGAATTTGAATGAAATGAGCGTCGGCGGGCTGTAAGATCAGCCGTTACTTTGCTGGCATCAACGCAGTTTTTGCTTTCACTGGTTGTATATACCTTTATGCTATGCTTTGGCTAAGCTGTGGAAAATTTTGATGTTGCTTTTAATAAACGTGAAGCCACAAAACCAGGGGTGTTTCATTGTGAATCTTAATAGCAAAAAACAAGCGGTTTGCTTTGATATAATGACTTATAATTTTCAGTAACCTTTTCTCGAGATGTTTTGATTTGCCCATCCAGAAGCTACTTTGTTTATAGAGATGCTGCCATTCTCAGCATGTCGTCGATGAGGGACTTGGGTCACAGTGGGGGATACGCTTGAAGTGGCGCTACCGTAGCCAAGCAGCAAAGAGCCCTTTCACACGCCACCACGGTCAATAGGTGGAAAACTTGCCGTCTAGAGAAACTAAGCATTTAGAACAAGGCTGGGCCCCTTTTGCTTTGGCCATTTGTTTGGGGCTATGCCGTAATGTGCCAAGGGATTTGGGGATTTTTGGGCCATAATCGGGTGGATGGGGCGCTACCCGGATTGCATAAGGTAGAGGTGTAAAAAGGCCGACTAATCCCAAGCAGGGTATGGCCCCAATAAGGTCGATCCGGTAATGGAGGTGCTTTCATTTAGCTTCAGATTGAGCGGAAAAACAGATTTTTTGGGAATATCCTGGGTATTCGTTTGATTCAGCTGATCGTTAAGCCCAACAATTTGACTAATTTGAGTAGAATCATCGACTAGGGAATCCAGCAGACACTTTCTCACAAATTCACAAATGCCGGGCGGCTTCTGGATTTTCACCAATAATTTGGGATTTTCTTCAGATTATGCAGCCTTTTGAGCTAATTTTTTTTGCTAATAATAACCGATTTCAAAAGGGATTTTTCAGATGTACTGAATTGAAAACGACTTGAAAAATAGAACTTCGGCAACCAGATACTTTGTAGATCTGGTTTCAATAATAACCTATACCGGAAATGGCTACGCCCGAAGATCCCTTTCCGAAACTATTCAATCCCCCGGGGGGAATGCTACGGTAATGGTTGTGTCCGGGGAGATTTATGTCCATTTTATGGGATGCGCGAGGTGAGGGGGAGAATCGAGCGTCAAAGGCCTCCGCGATGCCATCGATGTACGGTGCTGGTTTATGACACTGGCGACACCTTTGTGGGGGGATCATGGCTAATGAATATAACGGGCGCCGCTTTAAGCCTAACGCGACAGCCGCAACGGTTAAATGAGTAGTAAAAAGGTTAGGGGTTAAACGTCGGGTGAAATCTTTGTAAGTATTTCGTTTTATTAATTACAAAATCTGGTTTAATTGGACTGTTAGCAGGGGGATTTTAATCAGACAAAACAATTTTTTGTTTTCTTTCTATGCATGCCTGTAATTAATAGATCCTGTATTTTTATAACGTTTTTCGCAGTGTTTGATTGCTAGAAACCTATAAAAAATGTTTACGGCATTTTTGGAATTCGAAAAGATTACCCTTTTTGCTCATGTTCATACATTTTTCATCAAAAGTCAGTTTTGACCATTTACGAGAATTTTTATTGGTTTTTACGGGCTTTTTATATCTAAAAAGTGTATATGCTATAAGATTGGTTATATTTTGCTATGGAACGGTACAAGATTAATGTGAAATTACTGTTCCCCCCCCCCACCCCTACTAACAATCCAGTCCCTAAGATTTTACAAATTTTAAATAGCTGACTCATGTTTTTCAGTCCCTCAATATATTCAGGATCGGCTCCAATGTCGCACCATGTATCCGTCCTCCCTCCCTCCGATGCCTTCCCCCCCAGCCACTAGATGTACCTTATGTATAGGATATATCGGGTTTCCATCGACCCGTCCTCCGAACTCCCCCCCTCCTCTTCTAGCCATCCATTCAGACCGGACGCGAAACGTGGCGATAGGGTTTCACCTGGTAGTGTGTGTATGGGTAGAGCCACCCGGCCCTTACCTTCCTTCCGAATTCTCCACCAATCCATTAGGTTATTAAATGGGAGGAAATGTATAAGGCAAGGTAAATCGCACTTTTTAGGGTTTAGCCCCTTGGTAATATTAAGGCACTAAAAATAAGGTATTGCCATCGAACTGTGAAACCTCGTGGTAAAAACGGCTACGCTTCACTCCAATATACGTTAAGTATTAGTACCGTATACGTTAACACGTTAGTATCTTATACCTCTATAATCTTAAAACCCTTTAAAAACCATCCCCTCACTATTCCCGAACAGCCAAAAGTTCGAGGCGGATGCGCGAAAAATAGGATGCCCTTCCCGGGGCCGGGAATGAGCCCATTCAGAGCAACGATCCGTGGCTTTTATGTTTTACCGGCCAACGAATTTATGGCCCCCTTCGGGGTGCCTCTTCCGTTCCTCCCCGAACGACCGTAACCCGACCGGAACTCTGGGCATTACATGCCAAAGTCGCCTTGGTTTGGGAGAGATTAGACATTGATCTAGGGTGTTGGAAGCAACGTATGTAAAAAACTTTAAAACTGCTTTTTAAAGGCACGGGTAGGCCTGGCCTGGCTTTATTTTAGTGACCATGGATTTTGCCTGCGGATACGAAAATATTTTCTATTAAATATAATTTCGATCGTCATTTATAAAAATTCAACCAAAGCCAGCAGCTTTACTCCAAAATGTGATGTCTACAGTACCTTCACGTACGCCTAACTTACGTGGCGTGTTCGATTTAATTAATTTTTTGAAGCCGCTTTACTTTAAAGCGCAACCAACGGCCCATCGACTTTTTGACGACCGTTAGCCAACTGGTTGATCTGCCCATATTTGCAGGTCATCCCTTCCGCCCCCACCATCCGACCCAGACCCTTCTGCACCAATCCGAAATGCCAACAAAACCCAATTTTTGCCCCGAGAGCCGATCCGATATCCGATTACCTCATCCACCACTGACTTTCATCTACACCGACCGCCCCTGGGTTACGGTAGCCCACTACCGAAGCTGGCCCGGCTTCAACCGACCATCATACATCTGGCTGCAAAAACAAAAACAGCCGACTGGAGAAGTGCAATGTTCACGCCTCTTTTGCCCAAATATTTTCCAACAGCAAATATACACAAATGTGGTCGGAAGAGATGGGAGAGAGGGGGGATAGAAAGAGGGCCACACGGACGGGCTCGCAACTCGGAAAAAGCCAAATATTTATTTATTTTTGTTGGTCTAGCTTCGGGGGTGATCGTCAGTCGTTCGTTTGGGGAGTCGCGAGGCTCTATTGAATCGTTTTATCATTTTAAAGTTTTCGTTAATTTTAAGAATTCAGATTTACTAGGTGGTTGTGAAGAGGTAGTAGATTATATTCATAGGTTGTTGGATCAGGTATGGCTGTAGAATTACATATAGTTTTTATGATCTTAATCGCTTTGTTTAATAACCCAGGTTGCGCTTTCAAGAACTAAAAGATGATATTTGGAAATTCACGCATAACCTAAGGGTGTCATAGACGTAGGGATGCGTAGCTCAACTTTTAGAAGTCCGCAACGTAAAGCCTAGAATTTTTAAGGTATCTTTAAACTACCATATACCTCCACGCCCCTGTTCCATACAAATTCTGAATTTTTCCATTCCAAGCCGACCCCGCAATCGGCGAGACGCTGGTGATTTCGGGTGTGTGTCTCGCCGTGGACGTGGAATATCGCCCGGGAAACGGATCGATTCTATGCCTCGAGAGATATGGAGGTGCTAGAGAAGCGGAAAAGAAGAATCGTGTGCTGCCTACAGTCCCCCTCCATCCACCTCTCCCCCCACCACCACATACCGTCTATTTGCTCACATCCCACCACCACCACCACCATCACCACAAAACGCCCTACCCCCCACCACCACACGGCCACGATCATCGGGCCATCGAGGAACGGCTGCAGAACGGGCCCTGGGTCTCTCTCTCGCTCTCTCTCTCATTCTCTCTCTCTCTCTCGCTCTCGCTCTCTCTCTCCCACACCCTAAAGTGCACCCCAGCCGACTTTAGCCGCCGCCCATCCCACGCGACACTCCACCAGATGAATCAGACCGGCTCGAAAGCATAGAACACGACTTCGCCAATGTTTGGCGGGTTGCCAACGGAATTCTACGCACAAAGTAGAGCCCTATGCGCGGCTACAAACCTAATTAACCCGAAAATTATTGCGGCGAAACGTTGCACCCAAAAAATGGCATTTAGAAACTGTATGCAGAAATGCGTTCTTTTCTTGTCGATTCTAACCTAAAAAAATCAGCATTTGTTTTTGAAGTCAACCCTTTTTTAAATAAGCTACAAAGGTCCGAAGATGCGTCCATAGTAACCATGCGTAGTCTGCCGAATTTTTTGGGTCATTTTGGCGCCGCGAAATCGTCCAAAAATCAAATTCTAGTTCCAAAACTGACACCTACCAGCAACACAAAAAGGTGCTAGGTATCGGGGGGTAAATAGTGAGCGGTTGTGTACATTGTTTGGGTGAAGAATTCCGGGTAAGCCCCCCGTGGCGATGACACCTTTTAGGGTGGTAAGGGAGAGGAGGTGTAGAACGGGAGGGCAATATTGGCATCCTCGAGATTTCTTCCCCCAGGCAAAGTTCATTGGAAGATATTGGATGGTTGGGTGTTGATTGGATTTTGTGGGTGGCTCGAGTGCACTTTTGGGAGAGGATGCTTTGGAATTTTGGGAGCTCGAGGTAGCTTAAGAAACTGAGCATGAGTTTTTATAAGCTGAAGTTATAGCTGGTGCTCTAGCAGATTCTAATTTTTTATATAGGACGAGCGCCGCCAAAAGCCAATAAATTAGATGCACTCTTGCGAGAGGCTCCTTTGAGAATTTGGGAGCTCGTGAAGCTGAGAAATTGAGCATCAGCGTTGAGAGCATCAGTTATAGCTAATTTTAACGGCAAAAACATAAACAAAACAACAAAAAAACCGATAAACACGTGTGTGGATACACGCGCGGCGGCTGTATCGGTGGCGCTCAAATATTTGCCTCCCCCCGATGGCTCCTGGGTTGGAGGCAGAACTCGAAAAGGAAAAGGAGAAGCAAATACATACGCAAACCAACACAAATATATCCGCCCCTTCTGGACACACACACACCGCTTCTGGACATTCCATTCCTAGCCACGGCGTCCCCCCGATTCTGCATCGGCTGATAGTGGGCCGGAAGTTGGCTATTTCTGGATTTAGCAGATTTTAAGTTTTAAATTTTCTGACTTTGGGTTTATTTTGAAAAAGTAGTAAAGTGTTCAAACTGATCTGTTAGCGATTGCAGGGTTTTCCGTCCGGAAAAATGCTCTTTTCTTAATTTTTTGCGATTCCAGGTTAGTAATTGTGAATTTTTGGATTTGCACATACTGATTCAATCCTAGATTAGTAGTGTACTGCATTTTGTAAGTTTAAATATTTAAATATTAGCAGATGATGTGATAGAATCTAGTGATTTTGCAGGATTCAGCCACCGGACTTGGTTTGAATTTTGCGGCTACTGGATCTGTTTTTAGGCATTTCAAAGCATTATCAGGGTACTGTAGAACCCCTAGAACAAAGCTATTCTAAGCATAGTCCCCTTTAAACATTTCTCACCCCTTCCGCTACCCTCAACTTTTCTAGCCCTCCAAATTCTCAATTTCCATGCGCTAACTCGCTTTTTCAAAACTCCCCTGGCCCGTGGGAAACTCCCGGCAATCTGGCAACAAGTTTTTTGGGCTGGGAATCCAGGTTTTACCGGGAGCACACCCGGAATGGACAAGGTCAGCAGCACACCTGTAGCATCAGAGGGGAGGAGGGCGGTATTATCAAAGCGATAGGATAGAGTGGGTGGTGGGGGTGCTTCAGATTTGGGGGCTTGAAGGAGGCCTTGGACACGCAATGCTTGGGTCCTAAGGGCCACCGACAAGTGACCTAACCGTACTTGAAGATTGGGAGCTTATGATATAAGCGAGGCGGGGATATGTTCCTTCTGGTTGACCTGTAAGGTGTCCTTAGAGCGTACGTTCAGACATATGGCTACGTGAGCGCCTAATTACACGTACATAGTATTGTCGCGTGGCTTTGCCTGGCGTTGCGTTACTACGTAGTTACTCGTACGGTATTTACGCAGCGTTTTACTATGTAAATGCTCGTACGTTATATACGCAGCTAATGCTAGTATTATGTTTTAAAGGAACGGACAAGGCTTTACTATGGATTTTTAGCTATGTATTTTGACGCCACGAAACTTATCAAGCCGTACGCGTCGCGTTTCGCTGGTGAAAAAGACGATTTTCCCGTGGCTTTCAAACTATCTTGTTAAAATATAAACCATTTACCCCTACCCAACTTCCCTTTGCCCCAATTCTTCCACTCCTACCATAACCCCTGACTTCCCCCCTCGGCTTCTTATTGCGCAACGTAGCACATGGATGACTTGAGCAACTTTTGGCACCTTCAATCCAACCCTAGGGCCCACCCACGGGTCATCTCAGGGGGAATTGCAAAATGCGGAGGGTAAACATAGGAAGGAAGTGGAGTAGAGAGGGGAAGAGGGACTAAGGTGAGGAGGGCGAGCGAGAGAAAGGGCCTTAAGAGGGATTCACTCATCCTATAAGGTGACCCAATGGCCTCTTAGTGTCCATTAGTCAGGTTTGGTCTGTTGTGGGGATACGGTAGTCGAGGTAGAGTGGAATATCTTGTATATTCCAATGTATATGTACTAAATTTCCGTGATATGTATTACATGGTTTAGAATTTTTGTAGAATATCGTAGCATTTTTAAGTAGCTTTCCCCATACGAAACAGGTATTCCTAAAATAGCGTGCAAATACCGTACTCCTTTTAAGACCAGTCTTTGCATTAATTCCGAGTTTCTGGAGATCGATAACCACCTAGCATCCAGTAAAAAATACCTCAAACTCCGCCTTACCGTAATTCTAGCACCAGCCTGATCCTCCTCATCCCTACCCCTACATCACCCCTCTTCACCTGTCCCATCAATATTCGATGGGTCGTGGCGGCAGAATGGGGGGGTGGTAGCACAGAAAAAGATGGAAGCATGGAAATAGAGGGACAGACGAGGGGGAGAGGGAGAGGCAGAGGCGGGGGATCGTCGTATGTGCAGGTGTGCACACGGCAATCGCTGCACCTGATTTGAATGCGTCCGTCATCGGACTGTCACTGGGTAGGATAGGGATAAGCTAAAGCTTTCGAATAGTGAGAAAGGTTTCTAAAGGGTTTTTGCTAGCTTGCCAGGTTCATAAAAGGTTTCTGCTAGTTTGCCTTGTTCTTAAAAGGTTTATCCTGGCTTGCCAGTGTCCACTATGATCTCTGCTAGTTTCCCAAATTCCTAAATAACCCCTGCTAGCTTTCCAGAGTGTTTTAGCTTCTAAAGTGCTTCTGCTAGCTTGTCACGGGTATATAGAGCACCGATATTTTTTTAAGAGACTGCTAAGGCCTGACTATAGATTTTAATGAATTTTTATCTGATTCGTACACTTCCGGCGCAGCGACACGGATAGCCATTCCATTGCGTGATAGGTTAGACCCCCTGCGCTTTGGCCAAACCGCGATACGCAACGCACAAGTTTTATCACTCCAGAATGCCGTGCTGCGCGTCGCTGACCTTGTTGCTGATTCGAAATCTCCATTCATACCTTGTCAATCCCTTTAAATCCCCCGATCCCCATGCCATCAGTCAGACCCCCCACGAACGTGGCTGGGTCCCCACGCTCCCTTGGCCCCAACCCCCCCGCAGTCGTTCCCAAAGAAGGGGAGCAAACAGGCCAACCCCAGGGGTGAGAAGGCTGAATGGCACAGGTCGACTGGGATAGAAGAGGTCGGCGAAGTGAAGACAAGAAGAGAGAAAAGAGGAGAGAAGAGACCCGGCTGGAAACAAACACCCACACCCCGTCAACCTGAAAGGGGTCCCCCGCCAGGGCCAGGTCCTGGGCCCTTTCCGGTCTTTTGCATCTCCGGGGTATCTTCAAATGATGTGGTGTCTCGTCGTCTCTTCTACCGGTCTGTCTTCATTGGTGAAGGCATTGAGTGACAGGCACTCTTCTGCTGCCAGGCGGGTGCCATCTACACCACTGTCTTCTAACCCCCTTTCTACCGTAGCCGGTTTTCGGGGAGGATCGGGTGGGTTGGAACGGCTGGCAGGTATTGGGGATGGTGGGAACGGATACTTTTGTGTTGTACTGTATTTTTCACTGTAGTACAACCTCTTAAAAGAATCCTATGGTCAATAATCAGCATCAATTAGCCGCAAAAATTTGTCATTTTAAATGGGAAAGTTTGAAAAGAATTTAGAAGTTATTTTAAAGGAACGCAGAAGTGAAAAATTTATGTATCAAGCTCAAAAAATTGAATCGACGTCAAATAAATTGGTTACGCTATGAAATATCAGCGATTTTGTACATCAACGGGTCTTGAAATTCGCAAAAACTTTCTGCAATCGATTACGATATAAAAATTACATATTTGGTTTAGTGTATTGTTTGTTGTGATTATGTTTTTTCTTGTATGCAAATCAACTGAATCTAATAAAATATCAATTTATTTTAATCCACGCACAACGCTGAAGGCATCCGACAAAACAGGGTTCGGGACTGAAAATGCACTAGGGGTGGGTGGGTGTGGGTTTGGGGCAGGGGAGGAGGTGACGATAAAAAATACAAAATACACAATCTTAAAATATACATATTTTAGGCCAAGGGAGCCCTGAAAAAGATGGCTGAGATGGGTTGGTAGGGGAAGAAGAAGAAGCGGAAGAGTAAAAAGATGAAAATATACCTTAAAATCTATTGTGAAAGAAACGGTGTATGGTGGGATTGATGCTGTTGTGGGTGGGATTGTTGCGGAATCCGAGTAGTGGTAATTAGGTGTATTGTGCACTTTTGAGGATTTGAAATGGGTGGGGGAGGAATTGCACAGGAAAATATTGGCTTTGGAAAGCAAAAAAAAGGGAAGGATGAAGAGCGGGGATAAATGCGACAGATATACAGGAATCACAACCATATGTTGGTCCCCAGGATGAGGTATGTATTCTTTGGGTCTTAAGGTGGATTACGTAGGTTTAAAGTATCTCTAGATATCCACCCTAAACCCCAAATCCCTCAACTGGTATAGCGGTAACTCTAGCATACAGGAAAATACACAAAATAACGGCACTCACAGAAGACAACAAAATTCAGAATCGTTGACGCACACAGCAGGTGGGGCGGGGTATTCTAGTGGAGGCGATTTCAAGGCATCTGGCGGGACACGTTTTAGGCATTCGAAGTGATGAATAGAATCGGAACGCAAAATTTTTAAAAGTGGAGCTACGATATTTTAGGTGTATATACAATTAATGCTAATTCTGGGGGTGGGAGCATTGCGAGATCGCAAGGGGTGGAGGAGTTATAAGGAAGTCGTTGGAGGGGGGCTTTATAAATTTGCCGCCGAGCCGTTGGTGCTAGAATAGAGGGTGTTTTGGTAGCTGGCATAGGCGTCCGGTTGGGCTTGGTAGAGTTGGGCGTTGTACATTGCGTTGTAGTCGAAGGCCGACTGAAAAAGTAGGTATTCCCGTGTTAATTATTGTATATAGTAAAATTCGTCATTTTGATACTTACTCGATTCCCATCCATTAACTGGCCAATGCTGAAGAAAGAGGCGGTAGGGAGCGCATTTTGCAAATCGCTGGGATTCATTTGGTAGCCGAGGTAGGGATTTACCTGAAAATTCAACCGTTTTTAAGGTATTTAGGGAATTTTAGCTACCAAAAAGCTAGATTAAGCTTTTCCTATGATATGTATAGTCCCCTGCCCCAACCAGCCAGCTTGAATTCGTCGAAAAATTCGAAGATGCACCCCCCGGGTCCGGATATTTGCACAGACACGGCCGGGGATCGGGCAATGCGATGACATAACACCTATTGTGTATTATGGGGGATGGATGGTTAGAGATGGCGAGAAAATATGGAGAAAACGGGAGAGAGGAGGAGAATGGATCCGTTTCCTGGCCCATCCACGTCTACTTCCTGACCTTGTATTGGGGGGCTTTGTCCGGGCCATTCACACCTTCTTATAACTTGGGTAATATTGAGGGGGTGGCCGGAGGGTATAGGAGTGGTACGGAATAATGAAGAGGAATTTACTAATTTGAGAAACACGACCCCTAATTTCAATATGAAACTTAAAATTAATTAAATTAATAGAACGACATGAATTCGCTAAGGTTATTGGTATCAATTAATATACTGTAAAACTATCTCTTTAGCTTCAACCACAGCTTAGATATTGTTCTAGAAAATAGGCAAAAAAGAATATTTTATTTCACACGAATATACGACAGAATTTTTAAACTCTCAATTTAATGAATAATAAAAATTAAAGTAATTAGAATTAAATAAAACTATAAAAACCCCTCTAAAATTCACAAAATCTGCCCTGAGGTCATATTTGTTATACTATTCTCCTTACAACCAACACCTAGTGAGGTTGTCATAGAATGAAAGTGCTAAGTTGCCCCGAGGTGGCTGACACCTAGTATAGGTGTACTGAAGTGCAGAATACTACCCCCTGATGACCCCCCAAGATACTCGAGCCGTCTATGGTAATGCCCAAGGCACAATGTTGCCTCTCCTCTCGACAACCTCTTACAAAAGACAACAACACCCTCTTCATTAGAGCCCTAACAAAAAATCCTGGAGGAACGAAAGTAAGCGGTATATGAGTGAGATGTAATGCTTTAAATAAAGAAAAATAGGATAGTTGTGGGCAAGGAAACTTTGGATAACGAGCTTGCGTGTAGGGATACCGGAAAAGAAAGATTTTCCGCTCAAGAAATACGGTTTTTAGGGATAGTAACGTTCAAATATGAAAAGCGAAGCTATTAAAACTGTTAAAAGTATCTATTAATTTATAACCTACCGCATTCTGACCAAGACTTCCAACCGAAGATATCACAGACGTCGGCTGGGGCTGAGTGAGACTCGAGGATGACAGGCTCGTTGTGTTAAATTGTGACACGACCACCGTATCACTGTTTTCTGACGTGACGATCGAGGAATCGAGCTTCTAAAAAACCAATAATTATATTTTTACACCCATCGCAACCCACCAATCCAAGATCCCCGTTCTGCACTTGATGACCGGCCATCGACAACACCGTCAAAGGAGCAGGCGATTTCATCTCAATGCCGCTGTCCACCGTCTTCTCCCCGGATGTATTCAGCTCATTCTGCTCGAACTCTTCTTTAATTTGGGGCACCATCAGCTGCTGTTGAGCCAGTTGTTCTTGCACCGCTGCCGCGTTTGCTGCCGCTGCGTTGTTGTTGTTGTTTCGCTAAAATTAATAAGATTATAATGATGGACGATTGTTGCCTACCGTTCTCTTCTTTCCGCTTCGCTCCTTATCTTGGACCTTAAAACGCTTCTGTCGGCGTAGGAAGCAGCCATTCTCGAACATATTCCCGCATAGCTGATGAAGGGTCCAGAACGATCCCTTGCCAGGCTTGTCTGGGGTTCTAAAGTTGGATATTAAAAATTTTTGGGACTGGTAACTTACCTTGGGACTTTCACAAAGCAATCGTTGAAGGAAAGGGAATGTCGAATCGAGTTCTGCCACCTAAATTGCCGGTAAAATCGTGTTTTGATGTGAGACGGGGACACGACAAGCAAACGCTAACAAAACATTGAGCAGCTTCTTGGTTTTTGGTAGTATACAAAAATTAAGAATCAGATTTTGACGCTTAAAACCAAGAAGTTTAAATAGAAGTCAGGGAAGGTTTTATAAACACAGAAAAACTAAAGAAAATCGTGATTTTTAGGTTTATCCCTGACTTCTACTCAATCCACTATACTTCACTGGTTTTAAAGGGATTTGGAAGTCAAGTAAATTCGATGGGTTCGAGACGATGGAGAGTAACTCTCAATTGACTTCCCAGTCCCTTTAAAATCATCTAAGAAAAGCGGGTGCGGGGACAAAATGTTGGAGGAATGGCTGACCCGCGGCCTGACCTTTGCTGGTTCTGGCGGTAGTACGGAAAAAGATCCATAATCCAGTTGTAGATCTCGGATAGCGTCATCATTTTCTGTTCACTTCGCTGGATGGCCATTGTGATGAGGGAGATGTAGCTGTACGGGGGTTTCGCGTGTCCGTAGCCACCGTTTCGTCGGATTTTTGCTGTTAAAAAATTGGATTAATACTTTTCAGATTATTCGTGTATTTAAAGGTACCTAAAAATTCTTTAAACAGCCTTGATATATTTTATTAAATCCATTTACAACCCCCTTTCCCGCAGAGCCGAGCCCGATTTCGTCAACGAGCACACACACAAACCCATCCCCTGGTTGGCACGTCTCCAAACAAGATAACGCGCACAGGGAAAACACAGCTGATCCATCCCCCGGCTAATCGATTTCCACCCAAATTCCGATAGTTTCCGGGCAACGTACCAATTCTTGAAGCGTCAGCGACTGTTCACCACCTCCAAATTGGCCATTCCGGCCGCCGGTAGGGGATGCTGTGGTGGAGGTGGTGGCTGAGAGGGTGCCGACACCACCTGAAACATTAATTTAGATCCCATAAGATTTATATTCTAAGCTTAATAACACTTAACGATCCATTAAAAACCAACCATTCGCGATAAAACCATTATAATTGACCGGATTCGTGTATGGGTACGGAGTGTACGCCGCCGACGAGCCGATGCTGTTCAGGGCAGGGTTCTGAAGGTGGTTACGATTTTGAATAAAGCTCAAAAATTGCATACCTGATAGGTTTGGTAACTCAACGCGTTGTAGGTGTAGGACGGCATGACCGACGTGTAGTCGGGGGTGGTCATTGCCTGGAAATAAACTATGATTAAAATACATAAAATCGGTGATTTCTGATCCAAAAATCAATTGTGAAGAGTAAAGGAATTCAAAGTAATATAGGAATGTAGAAATTCTTAGTCCGAACAGCACTTGAATGAATAAATGCTATTAAAAGGTATACAAAAAATTTAGCCATTTCGAGCGACCGTAACTTTACAAACTAATAAATATCGAAAAGTGTGAAAGAAGGAATCAATGTCACCCCACCGGCCTTCTTCTGGCCACTCGGCCCCCAAAATAATGCCCTGAGGGCCCCGGTGTGGGGTGGAAACTTGAGCCCCCGGTGGGCCCAACGCCATCCTGAGCCTAGGCCCTAGGCCCTGCAAGGGCCCGGCGACCCAGCCCACTCGAGCCGTTTCGGCGGCGCGCAAAATTGGAAGGATATTTCGTGGATTTGAGGGTGGGGTGAATTTAATTCAGGTGTTGGGTACGGGGGCTTGGGAGGTTCGAGATGAGATTGAGGATGAAAAAGCGAGTTTTGGGAGCATGAGGTATCAAGGTTTCATCTAAGGATTAGAGGCATAATTGGCCATTCAATGTTACGATATCTGGAGAAATTTGGAAGGAGGGAAAAATGAAAAATGATCGGTTTGGCCAGCAAAAATGGATCAAGAAAACGTAAGGGCGTATTGGTGCGTAGTTTAGCATGACATACATAGTCTTGTTCCGAGATTCTACTGTTTGAAGGTATATAGAAGGCATAAATGGAAAGGGTAGGTCGTGAGAAACGTAGTTAAATAGCCAAAAATCAAAATTTGAAACTGTACGGCGTAGTCGCTCGTAGTCTGCAAGAACTTTCAGTCCCGCGGAAATCGAACAAAGGTATGCTTTAAAGGAACATAGAAGGCAGAACAAAGAGTAGTAAGTAACTAGAATATAGATAGTAAAGAATCGTGGCGTAGATGTATAAAAATTTTAAGAGCATTAGCTCATAGCCGAACGTAAAGCAGAAAAAAACGATCCCGCAAAAAAGTGCAGAACCGTTGTCTGTCAGTATGTGTATAATGGCAGGACCGGGTGTGTGTGTGTGTGTGTTTCTGTCTGTCTGTCTCTGTGTATGTGGGTGGGCGGGTGTGGGTGTGGGTGTGGCTGGATGGGTGGTCTAGAATTTATGGGCGGGGCTGACCCGCCGTCTCTCCAATCCTCATCCCCTACAGTATTCCGGTCCCCCCCCAACCCTTTTCTCAACCCCCCTTCCGGACCGGTCCCGAACCATCAACCCTAGGTCCCAGCCGCCCAACCCCAGTTAATGCCACTACCCCTATACTGAAAAACGGTTGGTGCCAACCACAAAATATCAGCACCCCCCAACCCTTCTCGTCCGTATTTGAACGCACGGCCCTCCTTCAGACAAACAATACCCTTCTCTCCCCCCTTTTCCACACAAATACACACAACACGGCTCTCCCCCCCCCCCTTCCACCCTCCCTCTACGCAACTGTTTGCGAATCGAAATTTGTTTATCCAATTTTGGGGCGGGATGCCGAGATTGATTATGTATTCGTTCCGCTTCCCGTTTTTCGGGGGTGACGGGGAGGTTTTGAGGCGGTAGGTAGGGTAGCTGGGATGGTAAAATCGAGAAAATTCAAATATACTAGCGGCAAAAGCTGTTGAATTCGCCAAGGACCAGAGACAGGATCAATAACGCTACCCACCAGTTTTGAAGCGGCAGGTCGGGTAATCGAAAATTCTGAATGCAAAACGGATTCTTAGATCAAGAAATACCATATCTACCATCGGCTGAACCTGGAGAATCTTTAAAAATACAGTAAAAATATAGGGAAACCCCGGAAATCCTAAAATATTTAAAACCCTCCGCATCCAGCCGACCGGAAAGCCCTGTTCCAGCCGCCCTTCTGAGTCAGACCTGGGGTGGGGATGACGTGATAAGAAAGTTCTATCGATCGACGTACGAAAAAGCTTTCATAAAAATAGGCAGCCAGCAGAGGAGTGTCCCGTAACCCTTACCCTTACTTTAAAAGCCATCTTTAACACTTATGTCATATAGCCAAAGAGGTAAACACCACCTATCAAACCTTCTACCATACAAAAGATTGAACCAAAACACCAAAAAATTAGCCCAGCGGTAGGATAATAAGCATATCAAAGTTATTTGTACATGGCAATAGCCCGCCGGCGATTTTTATGGAAATAGAAAGGTGAGTGGACACGAAGGGTCAAGCCCGGGGGGTAAAGAGGGAGAGAAGGAAAGGAGAAGGGCCACAATTGATATGCCTTATCTGTTAGAGTGAGGAAGAGAAGAAGGAGGATGGGGTGGAGGGGAGGGAGGTTGGATGCCTCAGGCTACGGGCCAACACCCAAAAGTTGTCTCTTGGGAAATAAGACTTTTAGAGGGTGTTTTAAAGGGATGGCGACACGTCAGGGATGGTAGGACACACATAAATTAGCTGTGTTCTGTGGAGCTTATCGTACATTCAGCAGTTCTTACGGGATTGTTTAAAAACTTCGTGAACACTCAAAAAGTCAGACCCGTACAGTGGAGCTTATCGTAAATTCCGTCAAGTTTCAAGGGATGGTTAAACGAGATCGGATCAAATACAGATGTACTCAGGAGTGTAGTGTAGCTTAACGTACGCAAGCGAGGCGATATGTCGGATACCCTTTAAACCCACCTCCAACTACCTCCAAAAAATTCTAACACCTCATCGAACCTAAACTCCGACACAAAAAAACTTCCGACACAGGCTGAAGAGTCCACGGGCGAGCTAAAGGAACTGCCAAAATGTGGGTCAACGCGATGGAGGGTCTGTGAAATAGAGACGAACGGGAGCACCGCCATCTGAAGGGCCGACACGGTCGCGCCCACTTGGCCCACATCTTCTAACCTACTACCTCAGCACGCCAAAGGGGCCAGGAAGGGCAGATCCGGTTACTCAGCATATTCAGATAGGTTTTGGAGGAAGTTTCACGGAAAAATGGGGTTTAGAGGACATTATGATTTAAATTTAAAAAACAATTCTTCAGAATCGCTTGCCTTCCGAGTTTTTTTAATTGCTGCGCAAAGACCTGAGAATGCTTTTAATTGCGTGCGTGTCTTTAAAGGATTCAAGGCGATGTTTCAAAAATCGATAGGAAAAAAATATGTTTTTAGAAGCAGTTTACCGAGTTCATTCACTGTTTTAGCCAGTATTTTGCTTCGATTAAACTTACATAAAATATGGTTCAGATAGTGAGTCTTAAAGGGACATTGAAGACAAAACTCGGAAAAATATTGGAACAGAATTCGCCAATTTTATTTGATTTTACTGTCTACCGTGGGGCCATGCTACTAAACTTCAATAGTTAGTTTTTTCAGTTATTTTAACGATTTCTCTCTGCTTTAATATTCCCCGGACCTCAAAACTTTCCGAAAACTTTTACCCCTACCCCTGCCAACCCCCCATTTTTTCCAGAATTTCTCCCAACCCGTGGCCCGGGCGCATTCCATGAGAAATAGCGGTTGAAAGGCAAAAGGGGGGGTCTCCGAAAGTCAAGTACAGTAGTCGGGTGAATAGGGGAGACAGGCAGGGATGGAGGGGAGGCTGACAGGTGGGCCACCCTCTTTCTTTTGACAGCAATGGGCCAATGGGGCCTCATAGGACAGGTATACCATCGGCTGGTTCGTTCTCAGATTCGGGACAGTCATCAAGGTTTCAGAGAATTTAAAAGTTTAAGAGAGAGAGAGAGAGAGAGAGTGAGAGAGAGAGAGAGAATCTAAAACTCACAGCAGTTTGGTAAAGAGTTGTAGCTGCGTCGCTGGTTGGAGCGGCAGATGAGGTCGCTGCCAACGCGGATTGGAGTAGCTAAAATATTCCTTAGGTCAATTTTCCGCAAAGAATCCCTGCTAGCTGACCAAAACCTTGGCGCAAATTCATCGCCGACAAAAATTCCGCCAAAAATTTCTGCTAGCTCACCCCTTACCTGGGAATTCTGAGCTGCAAATTGACGCGCATAATCGCCCGGATCTGTGGAATCGTCTTTCATAATAGCTGAAAAATATTTAAAGTTTCAATTTAAAAGATAGAGTCAAATACAAAAAGATCAAAGTAAATTAGATCAGTAGAAATATCCCCTCCCGGAATCCCACGCGCAAAACTCGCGAAGAATCGATACGGGTGCCCCTATCCAAATTTGCGTCGGTCAAACAAAAAGACGAACAAATAAGGGGGCAGGACAGGGGGGAAAAGAGAAGAGGTTGGCGACAAGGACGCACCATTCCTATTCCGTGTATTTATTTATTTTTGCGAGGTAGTCCAGGGGAAAGAAAAGGGGCCGCTAGGGCCAAATAGAGGGCGCCGGGGATCTTGGGTAAATATGGGTGGCAGCAGTTTTCCGGTACGCAAATTTACACAGAACGGCTGGCGGGGGGGGTGGGTGGTGATATTGATTTGATGGGTCGTTTAAGGTATGGAAAAATTAACGAGGTAGGTATTATTACTTTTCTATAAAATGCAGGTAATCGTAAGAGTAGTTGGCAGGAAAGAACTTTGCCAATTTTGGGAGGCACCACCTCAAAACAATTGTTATCAATCGAATGGCTCTGATGGGTCACGGCCGGTAAGGTATATAGTTTTTAATAGAAAAACTTAAGGAAGTCAATGCTTTGTATTAGACGTTACAAATTTCTCTATGCTAATAAGCTATCTTAAAATACAAAAAAAACGTACAACAGCTTCTAAAGGCCTCGTGACAATCTCCCTTCCCTTCAACAGCCCTTTAAAACCTGCTAAGTCTTCTATAACATCTTACACCCCCAATACCTAAGCTTCAACCACCAAACAAATCAATAAGTCCCCAGACCCCCATCCTCAAATATTAGTTTTAATCAAATATGATGAGCTCAAATAAACCGCCCTCCCCCCGCGTATCGAAACGGAATGAAGGGCCCCCCATTGCGTAAAAGGGAGCATCCCGTATTGTGGCCAACGAAATAGAAGAAGCGAAGAGATGAGAGCACGAGAGGAGC